CAACAGCTTACGTTTGACCATACACTGCTCGCACCTCGACGGATTACCGATCCGCACACGGAGAATGCCGCCCCTGAATTACGGCGGGTAACCAAGATGCACGATATCGCGGTACCTCTAAAAGCACCACCATCAGTTATCAAAAAGGGGAATATGGTTCATTTGCTCGATTGTGGTAAACAGTTTGCTTACAGTAAATTAATTCGTAAATATGAAATGCAGCTGCCAGCGTTTGTGCGTCTACTACGCAGAGAAACGGCACTTGATTCTCGTCCAAGCAATTATCTAAAAATACCGGGAGGAGTTCTTACCTGGATCACCTAATAGTATCATGCTCAGTGGGAATTTATCGTACGGCAGGATGTTCAGGAAGGATCCGTTTCCACATCAGCCACAACCGCCGGTGAACCACGGATCCGCTCAACGAGCTCTAAATATCATCATAAAGAATCTACGCGCAGGTCAGTACGCGAACCAGTTTCTCATTCTCGATATTAGGCTGCTCTCTCTACTTTAAGGGGTTACAAGTGGCCCCTTTGGGCAATAAAAAAAAAGTGAAAGAAAATTATCAGTGGACGCGCGGATCATTCATGACCTCTCGTTTCAACCTGGAGGATCGGTCAACGAAAATTCAGTACCGTATTTGAATATTGGCATTTCATACGACGGACCTGACGCACTGTCGAATCGCATCGTAGATGTGGCTGAAAGGTACCCGAATCTACGACGCATGAAAAGGGGGCATTTCGCCAACCCCCTCTAGCTGATGCGGTTGGACGATTTGCTGGTACGATACCTGAGCCATGGATCCATGTCATTATCCTGTGTCGACCTATCGGCCGAAAGAATTCCCCCGCTTCATATTGGTTTGCTGGTGCAGAGATTACGCATTTATACTCTCGTTCAGCCTCATGTTGGTCACTGCAACCAGCTAAAACACAAGATAATTTGACGCCAATGCTTGGTGTTATGATCACACAGCAATGGAACATACATTAGAGCGAGCTTACCTGTAGCACAACTCGCACTTCGATCGGCTATGGGTGCTGTCTTAGGTGCTGAAGCGGCAGCGAAAAAATGTACAGTTGGTTTGTCCGAGGCAGGGCTCTTGGATTGGATTGGGATTTGCAAGCGCTGACAATATCCATACCAGCAGAAAATATACGGACGCTCTTTCTCGGCTGCTGGACATACTCGACCGCACAAGAGCCATACGAACGCGGCTGCTAAGCTAATGGGGAGACTTCGTCATGTCGTCATTTGCATTCGATCTCGATCCCCCTTCTTCCAACGAGTGGTCGAGCTGGCACGAAAGGCGCCGTGATTTGGTACTACGGAAGTGTCCAGTGAGGCACAGGAAGACCTATGGGGGTTTGCAATTATGCGAATAGGGATATACAACTCAAACCCGCTAGCAAGGATTACGCAGCGGCATGTACCTGAATATCATAGTTTGGATGCAAGTGACCGATGTATCTGCGCGTTTTTCTTATCACGCAAGGAATACATACAAGCCGGGTTTATTTACGAGGTGAAGAGTGTAATACGGAACTTCAACGAGAACAGAACAAACGATATCTGTATCAACATAAGTGAGTTAATGAGCGCTGTATTCGCTACTATTGTGTAGGGAGCGGCAAACATCACAATGTCGACACATATATACGGTTCTGGATCGATAATACCTCGGCAATGACATGGAATTATCGCAAGGCTAGTCGAAACAGCTTTGCTCAAATGCTACTTCGCATATTTAGCATTTGTGAAGTCAGGCGTGATTTGTAACGCCACGGCAGCCCACGTGGCCGGTGTCGACAATCAAATGGCGTATGCGGAAAGCAGGGTGTGGCAGTCGCCAATTTTAAATCTTAGTTATATTAACTTAACACTTGAATGGACACAGGTGGCGGTCCCGACCGGCTGTCGAAATCTTTCGCGTCTCTGGGAGTGTTATTGCGAGCGGGGGATTTAGCCCACTCATCGCGCAAGATTTATTCTAGAGCTTGGGGTCAGTAGACAGCTTGATGCATGATGATAAATTACAATTCATGGCTACCGGCAACAGCGTCGGACCACAATGCTAATCAGCTTGGTGCACTTGCAGCGTACCTTTGGCAGTACGGGATGAATAGTAAACGAATCGGCAACACCTACCCCATGATCAACACCAAACTGCGTGCATCGCAACATAGCGGGGTACGATCCGGAAGTCAATGCCAGCCATGCTATCTTACTTCGAGGGATACATCGGTTTCCAGACCCTGTCATCAAGCAGCAGCCCCTGACCGCTCAGCTTCTTTGCGTCATTTTCACGGAAGTCGATCTTACTGAGCCCCGCGATCAGCTTCTGTGGGGTGGGCTGCTACTGGGGTATTTTCTCTTGTTGAGACGCTCTGAGTATATTGACCCGGAAAAAGATGCACAAATACATACTAAAATTATTTGGGATTAGATTGTTCGACCAAGATGAGAATGCCGTACCACCGGCACGTGCAGAGATGGTCGGTGCTACATTGCATGGCGCAAATAACAATCGATTCGGTCGCGAGGAAGTCCGGTACCATTGCAAGTCAAATGATCCAGTCATTTGCCAAGTCAGAGCTGCCAGGTGGATAAACAAGGCAGCAGTAGCGTTTGCAGTGAAACCAGAAGACCTCGCGCTCACAATGCGGGGTGGTGGAATTACAGCAGAAGCGGTGACGGCTGTAATCAAGAGAGCTGCTACTAAAGCCGGATTGGATCAGACTATATACGCAGCTCATTCAGCTCACATAGGCGGGGCGACGGCGCTACTCAACGCAGGTGTCGATCGTCTCGTCATGAAGTTGATGTACTGGTGGTTGTCCAACGCGTTTTAGGATAACCCTGTGTGATCAGCAAGAAGATTGGCGGATATATAACAAGATGTGTGCTGAGACTGACATGCGACTCGGTGGAAGCGCGACTAGCGGTATATCATTATGGGGCGGCCGCCGCGCCACGTTCATGACGTGGCAAAATGAACCAGATAAACCTTTTGTTCCAACGTGACAGCACTGGAAACCGCCGGTTGCAGAGGCAACAGTCCTGAAAGCAGTTGCAAACGAAAACATATTTTCCTGCTGTTGTGGTGGCTCTATAGATAGTTCTAGTAGGAGATCAAGAGCACGCTGCATCTCGAGCTCATTCGAGATTTAACGTGCCACTGGTTAAAAAGCGTGGTCGCCCAAGAAAACGGCACGATACACCCGTGCTGCTGTCGGTTGGAGTGCATGAAGCATCTACTCGCAATACTGCATTTGTGGTGACGCTTAGTAATTGTGCGTTCACAAAATTATAATTGTGTTGCCGATGAGAAAATGTAGCTGCCGATAAACCATTTCAGAATAATAAATTGCCCCACACACGTTTTTGTTAGTAACGCAAGACCTGCTGTTCCATGGTCGAGCTATCACCAGCACGTTTTTACCAGTCATGTCTGTTATTTGCATATTATATGTCCTATGATGTGGTGATAAAAGGGTGTCAGGCACGACAGTGGAAGCGTCACGGACAGACAGGTTGTTGCAAGATCGTTTCACGGACGCGGTCCAGCGTTGCACGTAGGTCTTCGTTTTCGTGCCGTGTTCGCCGATAACGCGTATTATCATAGAATACATACTAAGCGGTTAGTATGCTTTTAAGATAGCATCAGCTCTGTTCACGTGTGTTTGAATTCCGCCAAAGTATATTTGAAACCAGACGAAGGGTCGCTTTCGGCAAGATGACCGTCAAGGGCGACGATGAACACGACGCAATGGCGAGCTTGCGCATGCTTTACGTCATGCTCTCCAAGCTACGTGAAGACCTACAAGGCAGCAGCAGTCCCCGCCCCTGTGCTCGCATCCCGCGTCTTTCACCTACGCTAGCAGAGGCTGAGCGCCCCTTGAACCAGAATAACTGCAATAGACACGATGCCTGTAGAATCAATCGCCCCGTGTTCGATTCCCTGCTTCCCGTATGTGCCCCGTACATCACCGAAACAGTACGTAGTCAGCGCGAGCTACTAGGTGTAACTCTAGACTGGATGGCAACAGGATTATCAGCTAGAGCCCAAGAAAACACCTTCAAGATTGCATATTCAACGTGCCACAAATACCGTCTTCTCGGTATGCAAGCCATCATTAGTGCACTGCACTAACTCATTCGTATGCCGTCTGATGTGTGTCCGAAATTCGCCCTACGCTTTCCACACTTCAATTAAGCTCTGTATGCGATTGATGGAGTGCATTTTCAAGGCGAAGCCGCAGAAGAAGATGCTGACCGATTTCGATCTCGTAAAGGAGTAACTACGACAAATGTTTTGATCGCCAGTGACATGAACTTGCGAGTTGCATTTGTGAATGCTGGTGTGGAAGGCAGCGCACACGATTCCTCGGTGCTTTCGTTTAGTGGATTTCTGACAAAGATTCCGACAGATTACTTTGTTCTTGCAGATGCAGGATATGCGCTTACGACACACGTTCTTACACCTAACCAAGGTGTACGATGTCACCTTCAGGAGTGGTGGCCAAGTCACAAGCATCCTCAAAATTACAGTGAACTTTTCAACCTGATTCATTCCAAAGCACGAAACGCCGTTGAGCGTTTAATTGGAGTTCTTAAGCGTCGATTTAGAGTGCTGCGCCAGGTTAATGAGTGCGAGTTAGTGGTGGTGAAAGCCACGATATTGGCGTGCTGTTGCTTACACAACGTCATCCGTCAAATTTATGCGATGGATGCTGGTGAAGCTTTTGCTGCTGTTCCAGAGCAGCACGAAGAACAAAACATAATCCCGATCGACTTCGAGACCGGGACCTCCTGGCGCGATACATGGCAAATCAAATGTTGACTGAGTACAACGAGCAGTCCCAAACTAATATTACTTCTAGTTAACCGAACGTGGTTACGTAAAGCTTATATGACAAAATAACATTAATTTATTGTTATTTCCATTTTATTGAGATTTCCAACCTTGACATTGGCCGTGGATGTTTTTGGCATTATTCGTCCAAATAGGAGCCGTCAGAGTCGGCGTTCTCGTCACGCGTGCGCGTACCAATTTGTTCAATCTGTTTGGTCCGCTTTTTGAAAAACGGCTCACTCGCGTTACATGCAGCAATGAATGCCTCCAGCGCCCTATCATTCGCTGCTGCAGCTGCCGTGGCAACTGCCGCCGCTTCAGATCTCCCTTTTCGTAGTCTCTTCACCTTGCTAGAGCGTTGCTGGTGACTTGGAGGGAGTTGGCGTTTCTCCTCATCACTTGCGACCGAACTGTTGCCGCTACCCTGCTCAGCAGACCCGCTTAAAGATTCTGCAGCTTTATTTAGACCCTCTGCAGCAAAGTTCGTGAAGGATTCACCTTCCTCCCCGGTAGCTACAGAATCACCAGCAATCAGGGCGCACACGTCAGCGTGTACAAATCCAGTCCTCTGAAGTTGTCGGTAAGTGCTCCCCGTATTTGCGTCTGCCTTGGCGATCAGATCGCTCCAGACACTGTCCGCAACCAGCACCCTGTGCGACTTTGAGTCAACACCAGCCCCACTGAGATTACTGGTGAAGCGGTATGTCTTGTACTGAGCCATCAGACGCTGGTACTTAGACTGGCACTTTCCTAATTGATCAGAGAGTTAGAGCAGTCGAAACAAATAAAACGATTCACTTGCCTTGCATATCTCGGGTAAATCGAGCTGTCATAGCTTCATCAATGCTGTGCCATGCCTTTTGCTTTAGCCTCTTCCCGGAACCCGCCCTTGCCGTCAGCACCAACTCAAGGAGCTGTTTCTCCATGTCGAGATCCCAAGTAAACTATATCGAGCCTTACGTATTTGCGATCTTCTCCCTCGAATACGTCTTGCCGAATGGCGACCCTTCACCACATAATCCCACTATGGATTCTTTAGATTACCGATCAAGCTAATATGAGAAAACGCATATTATCTGCCCAACGAATACGGCCAAGTTGCAATAGTCGGTTAAGATCGTTTCACGGACGCGGTCCTGCGTTGCACGCTTGTCCTCGATTTCGACTCGGTAGCTGTATCGCTGGGCAGGACGTAAAAAATGTAGCTGCCGATAAACCATTTCAGAATAATAAATTGTCTCACACATTGTTTTGGTTCGTAACGCAAACCCGGCTGTTCCATGGTCGAGGTATTACCAGCACATAAAGTTTATTTCCCAATCATATTTGTTTTTTTAAATGCGAGGTCCTATGATGTGGGTGTAAAAAGCGTGTCAGACACGACAATGTAAGCGTGACGGACAAACAGGTTGTTGCAATAGTCGTTTTTTTCGTCCCCCTTTAAGATAATTTTGCGAACGCGGTCTAGCGTTTCAAGTATGTTCTCGATTTCTTCTCGGTAGCCGTATCGCTGGCGTTAAGCAGGACGTAAGTCGAGGTAATTGTCGTTGTCGAAGTCACGGGTGCGGCGAAGAACCATAGTCGAGAGAGGTTATTGAATAAAGAGGGTTTGAAATTCCTAAATCAAGGTCCGACCTTCAATGGGTTAAGCCTTTATGTGTACGTGATTGATTAATGGTAGCACACGTTAGTGTAGTCCGTACGTAACCTGCAACGGTTGCAGACATAAACAGGCGAAGTGACAATGGTGTTCTCTGTTGACAATCGTGCTCGTTAAAAAGCGTGGTCTCCCAAGAAACGGCACGACACCCGCACTTCTGTCGATCGGAGTGCAGGAAGTATGTACTCGCAATACTGCATTTGAGGTGACGCTAAGTAATTGTGCGTTCGCAAAAAATATAATTGTGTTGCCGCTGAGAAAATGTAGCTGCCGATAAACCATTTCAGAATAATAAATTGTCTCACACAATGTTTTGGTTCGTAACGCAAATTCGGCTGTTCCATGGTCGAGGTATTACCAGCACATAAAGTTTATTTACCAATCATATTTGTTTTTTCAAATGCGAGGTCCTATGATGTGGGTGTAAAAAGCGTGTCAGACACGACAATGTAAGCGTGACGGACAAACAGGTTGTTGCAATAGTCGTTTTTTTCGTCCCCCTTTAAGATAATTTTGCGAACGCGGTCTAGCGTTTCAAGTATGTTCTCGATTTCTTCTCGGTAGCCGTATCGCTGGCGTTAAGCAGGACGTAAGTCGAGGTAATTGTCGTTGTCGAAGTCACGGGTGCGGCGAAGAACCATAGTCGAGAGAGGTTATTGAATAAAGTGGGTTTGAAATTCCTAAATCAAGGTCCGACCTTCAATGGGTTAAGCCTTTATGTGTACGCGATTGATTAATGGTAGCACACGTTAGTGTAGTCCGTACGTAACCTGCAACGGTTGCAGACATAAACAGGTATAGCGACGGTGGTGCTCTCTGTTGATACTCGTGCTGGATAGCACACAAGACACGACAGGATGGACCCGCATGGTGGGCACCGGAGGGCCGGGGGCTTAAAGGCGGAAGGAAAAGAGGCCGAATGACCAGGAGCCTTGGTGGACGGTGCAGCTGGCACTAACGGGGTCGAGTGTCCTGCCGCCTGGGCGGGCCGGGCACCCGCTGGAGACGAAGGCGAAGAAAGAACTGAAGGAGACGCCATGGTGGAAACACAGCTGCTTAGTTTAAAGGAGTGCTTAAGTGCTGAATGCGAAATGAGAGACGGCTTTTCCGCGGCGGCAGTTGTGGTCCGCCCCGTGCGCCTGAGCATCCAAACACGGAAACCCCCATTTCAGACTCCTGAAACTCCGCACTCCGACAGATGCCAACAAATTGCTTCTACCTAGACTACATATATCGATCGCGCAGTACTTCGGTTGGCTTGAATAATTTGAAATGAAATCTCTCTGACCTTTCACAACAAATTTATATCATGATAATGCTTTCAGCTGACACCAGATTTTCCACATGAAATACAAGTAGATTTGTATAGTAGATGCTGTTATTAAAAACTCCGCAGCATCAAACTATATGTACCGTCCATGGGGTCATGTCGGCTCTACCTGTAAAATGTTTTAGGGATGCTCTTCCGATGACAAACGGGTCTAGGTAACATTGAGGTAGTCTTGAAGTATCTAATAGTAGTATGCAGATATCGCTTTGTAGAAGTGGTAATGACAAGCCATTAATATGCGAACAAGCGAGAGCAACAGAAGTCGTTAGTCCTAACGATTTTATGTCGACTTGGTAATTGACATCGCTAACACTGAGTTTTTGCTTTGTACTAAGCTTTGTTTAACAAATACAAGAATTGTGCTTTTCAGTGCTTTTGTACTAAGCTTTGTTTAACTAATACAAGAATTGTGCTTTTCAGTGCTTTTGTCGTTATCACTTAGTTTTATCATCGATTTAAAATAAATGAGGTCGTTTTATTTATCGAGGTCTTTAAAAAGGCAAATCGATTTAGCTAGGGAGGCCAATTAATCGAGCAACGATAGACTAAATCGAGCGCTCGAGATATTTCCAAGCAACCACATCGATCTCCTGCAAATAGATCCTTTGTGCGTGTTTGAAAACGCAATTCAAGCGCAGATCATGTCTGTCTTTTTCTATCCCAATTTTATGCAAGATTTTATATGCCGACCCTAAGCCATAAAACGGAGTGACATTCTATCTGCAAAACCCAATTGTTTCTTAAAAAGTGATTATTTGCAATATTGAGCTTCTAAAGGTGAAGAAAACAATTATGTGCACCACCCATTTTGTTCTTACCCATAACGCTTTTTGAAACTTCATGCGCACGTTGTCTTCGCAGGTACGCGGACGGGGCGTCCGAGGCAACCATTTACTCTAACCACGATTCTTCAATGACCACACACTCACGGAGCAGCCGCAGTACCATGGTTTCCAATACCAATGCGAGTCTCTTGAATGTCGCCGCGTCGGATTCAATGACACTGAACGGAGTTGCTACCTAGCTATTACCAATAGTGGAGATCGCTTATCATCACACCACACTCCACGAGACTCTAGCTGACCACTTTGGCAAACGATTTGAACGCCGCAAGTGCAATTACTGCGGAATTATCTTCTCCTTTCGTACCACGAGCGCCCCGCTACGACATATGAGGAAGCTTCATCTTGACAGAATTCACCCAGAAAGTCAGAATACGCAATCACTGTGGACAGACAATGACGTACAGTTGACCGAGCAAACATCAACACAAGAGCCACGAACACATAGTGATAATATCGCTGCTGAAGATGCTGCTAGAACTAGCGTTGACTCTAGAAATGAGCTGCAACCTGGAAATTCTGTTACCTCCGTGGCTTCTTCGACATCTTCAGAAAAAGATTATAGGAGCTCTACCCCAAAGAGAAAATGAGATGGGGCGAATGAAAGTGCGATGTCCAGAAACGAGAATGCCGGCGACTTTGGTAATACGAACCGTGCAAAAGTCAGCAAGACGACGCGAGCATTATCTTCCGAGCTTACGGCCAGTCAAGAAGCCACCTTGCACTTCTTGCGCCATTACGACGACGAGCTACAGCAGCCTGCTATGCGCTTAAAGTTTGCCAAGCACTTGACGTACAACGTCGCTGAAGCTGAAATGTACAACGTGTTGGACCCCGCGACTCAGCTCGAATTCATTCGCGACTTTGCACGTCTACCAGCCAACAGGTAAAATGGGGATTACTATACGTTATTTGCATTAATACTACTCTGCCGTCGAGTTAGAAGCGACCGTAGAGATCCATTCGGAAGGTGTCATCGCTCTCCTGTTGACGAGCTCTTCTGATTATTCTGGAGGACGCCACAGGGATTCTATCCGCAGATATTGTGCCAGGTTTTGTCTCCGGGTCTAACCGGAGTGACGCTGTTATTGGGACGTGTTGAGCACGATGACACGAGGTTTGGTGGACTTCCAGCTCATCAAGGCGTTGCTGTCGCTCAAGATACAAGTGATGGGCTCGTTCCGCTTCACAATGGGGCGAGTCTCCGTCTTTCTTCAGCACAGTTTTCGCAACAGGATAGACCTCGGCCGTGTATTCTTTTTCTCTGGTCACTGGAGGGATCATTTGCTGCTTTAAAAAGTGAGCTACAGCCTCCGCTGCTGCCGCCTCCGGATTCGCGAGGAACGTTGTCTGTCTCCATCGTTTCTCATGTTGCGGCTGGATATTTTCCTGCTCTCTTTCCGGCTCCTGCTCCTCCTGTTGATGCCATCGGCGTGGGTTGTCGCTAGCTCGACCGAAAACGTCGTAGTTCTGGAACAATCCTTCGTAATTTGGCGTGTGTTCTTCAGCTTGTCTGATCATTGTCGCCGGTGAGCTGTGTCTCCGTCTATTCACCTCTAATCGAGGACTTGGAACTCTTTTATCCTTGCTCTTTTTCCAGAATTTAAAGCTGTTCCTGTTGCTCTCACTGGATCCTCCCGAATAGCTCTCCCGGTCTCTGTCTCTCGAACTCCCGCTGCTACTGCTGTTAGCTGAAGCCGACGTATTGTGCTGTGCGTTCTTCTTTGCCGTAAGAATAGCGATGCGAGCAAGACATTTGTTACAAAAAGTATCCGTCTCCGGCTCATGTGTCCGGGAGTTCATGGAAAAAGTAACTTTCAGCTTGTAACATTTGTGACAAACCGATTTTTTGCAAATGCAGCAACAACGCAAAGGATCCGTGACTTTTCTTTTGGATCCGCAACGCAGACAAGTCTTGCTCATCAACACTTGGCGGCCTTTTGCCTTCCGTATACACCCTGACAATCTCTTCGCCAATGCACAATCCGGCAACCTCGTGATCATGAGAACTCTGTCCGCCATCTCGGTATCTGCTGCTCTTCTCGACGATGCAGACGTCCGACAATCATAATCCACTAGTGTAAAACATTCCACCAAGTCCTCGCACACTTTACGGAACAGGTAACAGAATGCCATATCTGCTCGTCGTAAGCCAGGTCCTCGAGCCACATTTAATGGCCATTCGGGCTTGTTCAGCGACAGTATCACGTGGTACGCCACTTCCTGGCTGCCTTCTTTGTCACTTTGCTCTGCTAGCGCCATACCCATACGTTCGTACGTCAATAAATCGTATTCTTGTCCCTCCCCAATTGTCAGAGGTGGACTACCAATTTTGACATTTCTCTTCCAGGAAATCCATTTTACGCCTGCAAACCGGAACGGAGTGGCTCGAACTTGTCTCCTCTCAGCTACCATTAGTACTGCGGCGTCCACAGCGATGCATCCACTTGGATTCAGTATAGCTTGCGTTGTCAACAGCTCGTTGTCATCCTCCACGTAGAGCCCGCCTAAAACGTCTGTTAAACGCGCGTTCAGTAACCCGCTGGCAATGACTCGACGTTTGTGACTGTCGACGCCCTCACGAGTGGCTGATACAGCGCGGTGCACTGTGATTTGATCGCGTCTGGCCAGAAATTTCCACTCCGTTGGATCCAATCGAGAGCTGTCGAAACCCGCGAACGCCGCCAACGTTTCACCCAGAATTTCTTCACTGCGACGGTCATACAGCAAGCGCTCATCGCGTGCCAGTAAGTGCATGCTGCTGCTTTATCGGGGAAGAAAGACGTCGTAGAAGGAAGAAGTGATGTAGTCAGGAAGAGGGACAGGAGGACAGTCAGATCCAAGGATGAGGCTTGACCTATTTAATGTGTGATACACAAAGTGACAAGCAATTGTTACTTGGCAGGCTGCAACTGTTGTTGCCTATCAAGCGATAAGTTTGCATTATTACTCAGACTGTTTTCGGACTTTTAACGTCGCGTTAAGGCCCTACGTATAGTTGGTTGTCATCAGCGTTGTTGATTTTCAACGTCGAGTGGCCGGGGTGTCGACTGGGTCCATGATGGCGAGGTACTCGCGCACTTCCGCTGGCGACTTGCCGGCCTCCACGAGTTTGGTCAACACCTCGGCGCGTAGGTTTTGTCTGTTCTCCTCCTGTCTCGCACGCAGTTCAGTCTGCTTGAGCTCGAGCTCTTGCTGTCTCACGGCAAGTCGCTGCCTCTCCAGCTTCAACGTCTGGTCAGTTCCTGGCATCGAAGTTGTCGGCGTCAATTCCTGGATGGGCGGTTCACCCACTTCTCCTGTATCTGCAACGACCGGCACAGTACCAGCCTCAACCGAATTGTTACTTGTCGTCCGCACCCTCCGTCTCGGTGGAGACGTCACGCCCTGCTCCTTCCTAGCGACCTCCGATATCGCCGCTGACAGGTCCTGAAACTCCGTCTCGTTGTCCCTGGGCAAGAGCGGCGACCTGCTGCCCTCCAGCTTTTGACCCAAGCTCTCGGACTCGAATCGCGTTGCCTCTCTATCCCCGTCAGGTCCGAAGAGTGCATCCACACGCTGATAAAAAGTGTGCAGCTGGTCGTGAGGGTACTGCCTTTTGGCTTTCCTGTATGCCGCCATGAAGCTCTCGAAACGGCTACGCGCTGTCTTCTCCGTCCAATCGGCGACCGCCACCCGGTTCATATACTGAGCCAGTGAGCGATAGCCATCAATTTTCTTGACGCGCTTCAGCGGTGGCGATGATGGCGCCGCGTTGCTGCTGGTCTCAAAGAGCTTGACACTCACCGGCTTCGTCAGCAGCTCAAAGTTGCCTGGCAGTTCGAGCCACTCAAGCAGACACTGACGCTGGGCCGCGGTCGTGTGCGAGTACTTCCGCTTGCCACGCTGGAAAGAACCCGGCGTGTCCGTGTCGTGGCCGCTGGCCGCGTCGGAGCGCGGAGACGTCGACCCAATGACGCCTGGCATTGAAGCCATAGTGACGCTGCGCTAAAAAGCGCTTTTTTGGCCTGTACCGACGGAACGAGGGGAGTCGCAAAATGAGAGGCTAATATCCGAGCTGGATAAACGCTTTTTAATTATTTTTTTAGGAAATCAAAAATGAATCAGCGTTTTATCCAGTTTTATAATTTTTTGTTAGGAAGCGATTTGGTTTTGCAAACTACAGAGTTTTAAAGTACCAATACTACATGTAAACTCGATACATGTAGTGTGTGTAGAGCTCTACCTTTTGCACAATTTGAAATATCTGGAGAAGGTTTAGGACTTAAACTAAAACTTAGCCCCTACGTCTACAATGCAGTTTAAAAAATATTTACTAGTATAATACTTCCATCATAAGCTGGAAAATCCGTTATTCCGTTCATTTAGTTATTATTAGCAGACAGTTTTTTTAGCGTTCAGTACACAACAGCATACTAAAGTAGTTGTGTTTGTCATGTTAAATGCACCAGCGTGTCCAGCATTGTATTATTGATAGCTTTCATCGTTTCTTTAATCACACATATATGGTTAAACCTTGAATGTGATGTTAGCCAACGCATTTGCCTAACTTAATTAATCTTGGTGAGCCACTCGCTGGAGCTGGGTAGAGCAAGTTGCCGGTGCTTGAGATCAATACGAATGGGTTCTTCGCCCTCCTAGTATGAGCGCAGCTCAGGCAATGACAGCTTCACTGGAATAAAGAATGTCTGCCTGCTATCCTGTACATAATACTGAAATACATGATAGTGCTATGTATTTCAGTGTAGTAACGGAAATCGTTGTATTGACTCTGAAATGTGGCAACAACAAGCCCGTTGATAATAACTGCGCACAAAAAATGTAATTTGTTTTTTAACCCCTCCAATCCCGACGTCATAGCCATACCAAAATTGCGATGTCGTAAGTTACGACGTACGGTACATAACAATAGGAATTGGCTCGAAACAAACAAATCAATACTTTAATCAAGTCATCTCAAACCTATAAGATGCAAGAGGTCAAGGTTGCATTTTCAAAAACTGAACGGCGGGAAAACTAGGGGAAGGGGACTAGAAGGAAAACGCGTACGACTTTACATGCCGCCAGCCACTCGAGCCAGTCATTCGACAATTCTACCGATGGCACGCATACGGTCGAGCCCAAGAAGAAGAAGCGCTGACCGTGTACCTCCCATTGCCGCTCAGGACATCGACCTCCCGCCCTTTTGGCGGCAGCTGAGAGCGGCAGGGTGGACATCTAAACGTCCAACTGGTCTTGGGAATGACTGGAGCTACACTAGTCCGGATCGAACGAGGGTTTTTGTGGGAGTTGATGAATTGGTAACTTTCGCCGTGAAGACAGGCTTGTTAGACACGACAGAGCCCAGAGCAAGCTCTGGTGATGAGGCAGAAGACAATGATCGTGAAGAAGACGCGAGTGAAGAGGACGACCGCGTGGAAGATAGCGAGGAGAAAGAAGACGCTGCTTTTGAAGACAACGTGCGTGTTTCGCAGATTGACACGACTGCCCAGCTGTCACAGCATACTCTGAACGAGCTGTTCGGATCATCCAGCGAGTCTGAAGTCGAGTTATCACAGCAAGCTGTTGCGCATGCGTTTGGTTTATCACCAAGCGATTCCCATCGCGAAGCGGCGGTCAGTTTGCAGCTGCTGTCAGAGGCGTCTGGTGCCGATACTGAGCCTGAAGAAGACATTGCTCCAGCCTGGCCACTGGGACCAGTTCTTCGTCCGCGTGCTCCCACCAAGAGGGACATCAACTTCATCCCCCCAGACGAGGACATGGGTGCGTATGAAAGCCTCAGTTCAGGTGAAAGCGACGACGGAGATTTCGATGAGGACGATGAAGACGGCGAAGGCGTCGTTCGCAATGGGCAGGAAGTTGATGATGAAGTCCTGTCTGATGACGATGCCGCAGACATGGACGAGGCCTTTGTCGCATCATTGCAAGTGAGAGATAGCGCTCTCGACAAAGAAGCCACAAAGCAGCGTGAGAGAGCTCTACGGTCCATGCAGTGGACCCGTGAGTCATCGCAGTTCGAGGAGAGTGTTCCCTCATATCCAGGGATGGAGTTGGAAGAAGCGTCGCCCATACCAGAGTTGCGGGCTCTCTCCGATTCACCGCTCCGTACGCTTTTCTACTTCTTACCGAAGTCGCTATGGGTAACTATCAGCGCGGAAACGAGCCGGTACAGTCTCCAGCAAGTCGACCGACGTGCTCAAGCCATTCTGGAGAAGTTCGGAGGCCGCCGAAAAAAGGAGCAGACGCTGACGCAAATTCGCCGACGCTTGAAAGCAGCGTCAGGATACGAGACTCATGAGATCCTGCACGTCATTGGGTTGCTTATCGCACGGATGTTGTGCCCCCAGAAGCGACGTTTCGCTGCGCATTGGTCTATGGTAGAAGACGGCGCTGTACCAGCAGGAACCTTTGGACGATTCATGGGAAGAAATAGATGCCAAGACATATTGCGAGACTTACATTTTGTGGATAACGAATCGGAGCCTACGCGTGATAAACTCTGGAAACTCCGTCTACTTGTTGACAAGCTGCAGCAGCGCTTTCTCTCAGGATGGACCCTCCCGTCCGTTTTTTTCGTTTGATGAAGGCGTTCTTCCCTCAACGTCGAAGCGGAATACAACCCGTATGTACATGCCGGACAAGCCCCACCGCTACGGCTCTAAAATGTATATGGTGTGTGACTCAAGAAGCGCGTATTGTCACAGGTAATATATTTTACGTCATAACTTACGCCTTTATATTTGTCACTGACTTGTATGTCGTAACTTTCCAGATTTGAAATGTACGTGGGCAAGCGTGATGCTAGCGGCTCTGAGAAAGCTTCATTTGACCACAACGCCGGTGCTGGAGCAGTCGTTCGCAACCTTCAAATTTTGCTTCAGGGTTCAGACGCTCGGCGATCGTGGCACACAGTAGTTGTTGACAGATTCTACTCCTCGATCTTGCTGGCAATTGAGCTCCTCGCAATGAACGTGTATGTCATCGGCACGATTATGACCAACCGGCTCGGCTTCGACCAAAAAATCAAAGTTGTACGCAAGACACGTCCCGCGACAATTTCCCATGGAGAATTCACGTTTTTGCGCTCTGTGGCCGTGCTCAGTATGATTGCGCTCAAGTGGTGGGATAAGAAACCAGTTCATTATCTTTGCACGGGCTCTTCGATGGCAAAGGAGAGTGTGAAAAGAAAGATCAAGCGTGACCGTCTCGTGTCCGGCAGCAGTGAAGGACTACAACGCTGGATGGGCGGAGTTGACGTTCATGACCAACTCCGCCTCCAGAAATACTCCCTGCAGACTTCTACGAGGTTCCGGAAATACTACAAGAGCTTGTTTTTGGGATTCGTTGACCTGGCACTTGTGAATGCCTATATTTCACACCGAGAGACGGCAGGAATCAACAGAACGGCGGCGATGCCTCGTGGCATGTGGTATGGCATCCTTCAGAACCAGCTTTTGCAGCTCAGGGCTGAAGATTTTGCTGGTGTGATTCCAACCCCGCCTCCAAATACCAAGCGCAAGCGGACACCCCTCCGTATAACCCACGCGCCCGAGCAAGCTGACGATTGGGTGACTGTTAGTGGCGCTCAGAAGCGTCGCCAGCGGTCTTGTAAGGTGTGCGCACTCTTACGAACGGACCGAAAGAAGAAATCGTTTGCGACGACATTCTTTTGTGAGCGGTGTTCTGTGGATGATGCTAAGTGCTGGTTGTGCAACAAAATACGCCGTGAGTACAAGGGGGTAGCAAAAACCTGTTTTGCCATTTGGCACGACGAGTTTGATCGTGGGCAAGCGATTCCACCTACGCTGGGAAAGCGAGTAGTCCTGCGTCGTCCGGGCCAGGAAGCAGGTAAGAGAAAGAAGACACGTCGTGAACTCCAGCTGCAGGACGGAGATGCTGATGATGAGGAAGGAGAGAACGAAAATGAAACGCTGTAATAATAGCTGGATGATCTGTTGAGTGCAAGCTTTGATGAGTGTTCACCAGGAAACGATCGTAATGCACATTTTACTGAACCACTGCACCTCTTATGCTCATAATCTGGACACATTGAACTCTTTTTGTACTGAGCTTTTTATGACACGTGGTCACTTACGACATGCAGTAGCTGATCAAAAGTAAAAAGTAGTAACATTTACGACATTGCTGGAAAAACCTGCTGAGACTTTATAGACTGGTCCATGGTCTTACTATGCACACTTTACAAATTCGAAGTGAAACGGAAAGTCGTAAGATACGACTTTGTAGTACCGTGAATAAGGCGTTTCGTGCTCTCAGATTCGGGATTGGAGGGGTTAACTATTATAGGGGTGTTAACACACCCCAGGTATAGAAATTAAAAAAAATCGAGCTAAGGAAAGAAAAGGTCGACACAAAATGTCGACGGAACCCTGCGCACGTATTTATATTGCGCGTTTAGAGTTTAGGTCACCTGTAAGTTGCAGGCTGCAACGTCGGTGGAGTATAGTAGGTCGAAACGATATCCTAGACAGGGCGTATACACCATCAAATTGCAAACGCAAGGTTTAATGCAACGTGGCCTGGAATCTTGATCCGGCCATAGCGACATTCGAATCGGGCCATTCTTCATAGTCCCATGCCTCGTTCTATTGTCGACCAGGTGCCAAGAAAGCTTACATGCTTTAATAATATGTCTTAACTTCTCGAGCTCGTCCATGTAGATAAGATTATTTCCCGATCTGTACGTGTTATGTACTGCGTTTTGTCAAAATTGTTTCTACAGGATTTTCTTTTTCCAAAAGCAGCAATCCATGACACGACTTCTTTTCCCTGTTAGTAAACAAACATTGCTTCACTCACTTCGCTTGAGTACACTACCGTGTGGCTCCCAAACGCCTTGCGAACACTATTATTGATAATAACGCTGTAAAGCGAGCATAAAGACGTTTATTTAGAGGGAACACAATGCGCCATGCAAGTCACTTTACAGTACTTAAAGTACATCAAACTAAAGACGCTAAGTTTTTGCAGGGCATTCGATAGTTAAATTTGGGGGGTTATCTTGATAGGCCAGAAGCTTGCTTCACCACCGATGGCGCCTCAAATGTATAATACCACTCCAAATAGTATACCCTGGTGCAATTTTAGGGCATACAAATGGAATAGTAAATCGTATATTATTTGATTTTTTTCATCGATTTTAGCAAAACGGATGAAAGGATAGAGATCCAGGCTGGTGTAGACTTAGCCTTAACCCTTTAGCTACTGGTTCATTTACGGGTCCCTATAGACCCATAACAGACGCCGCGTATTGGCTGAAACTCTGTCCAGTTGTGCGACAGGCGATCGTGCGTCGCCGTAGAGGTTCATACAGACCTCCCACGAGCTAGCCAGGCCATCAAATTCTGTCCGCTCTGGACCACAAGCAGAGATATAAGCGTCACAAAGGTTTTCTCCTTCCCTCGACCACAGAAACAATGGACAGCGGAAGCACTGGAGCATCAGCAAGCGTACTGCATTGATGAGATTGCGGTGGACTCCCTCGTCGACGCGTGGGATACGCTAGTGGACGACGAGCTGCACATCGAGCCCATCGACTTGCAGGACGCCACGAGTGTACTCACGACGAATGGCTACCAGCAGCTTCCTGAAGATAGCCTTCAACCTTCAAGCCCACCACATCAACACGCCAGCACCTCCAGCAGATGCCTAGACGGACCTCACTGTAGCAGCATGCAGTGGCTTCTCCAGTCGACAAGCAACCCCAATGTCAGCTCAAAGCAGGGCGAAACAAGCGGAGAGCAGCAGCAGATACCGGCGGAGACAGCCCGTAGCAGTGTGCCAAGCATCTATGAGTCTAGTGGTTATGGCGGAGTCTACATGGATGCACTGGACATGCAGAGCGGGCTCCATGTCGTTGCTGACCGAAAGCCTACCGTGAAAACGCTGAATACGGAGTGTTTGCCCTATTTGTGACGGCCACGTTTCGCAGTCCCCTGACATGGATATCGGATGTTCTTACTGCTAGAGGCCAGCCCAAACTTACTGAGAGTGAATTCAATGCATATAGCGGGCTTGAAATCGCAATGAGTATTTGTTCGCTGAGTGATATTGCTGAGTATTGGTCTGACAGTCGTTTTCTTGGTCAAGTTGCCCTTATAGATACTATGCCGAGGACAAGATTTTAGAATATCCGATCCGCGTTACAATTTTACCCTCCTAACGACCCGACACTCGATAAGCAACATGATCCATTGTGGCACAGCAGGTTGATACTGGCACACTTTCAAAAACGATTCGCCGAGTTTACTGTGCCTACTGGAGTGAGCATCATTGATAGAATGACGGTGGCGACCAAGGCAAGGTCGAAAGCCCGGACTTATATGCCGTCCAAGCCCGACAAGTACGGAGTGCGTTTCTACGCAGTGGTCAGTTGAGGCTCGCTTTATGTGCATACGTTCTGGGACAACCCCTCGGGCAATTCACAGACAGCTACACCAGCACAGCGATACGTTCAGCACTTTCCATCACTTTGCACGCCGCTTTTCAACACGCTGCGTCGCGATGAAGTTGCCGTGGGAGCTGATTCAGCGACGGCGTTGTGGCTAGCAATGGTGGGGCATCAGGCAAAGATTCTCCTATCACCAAGTGGTTATCGGCTTACAGTTTCGGACAACTTTTATACACGACACACGTTTGCTAAAGCTATCCTTGCGTTCACGGATGGCGAGATGCACACGATCGGGGCCGTCCGGCTCAACCTAATCGACAAGTGGAACAAAATTGCTGTGGAGGCTTCTGTGGAGCGAGTGGCAAAAGCAGATAGAGGAGAATGGGAACTTGTAGCGGCGGTCGATGCAGCGTCTGACTGGAAGAAAAAAGAAGCTGCTCAACAGAAAACACAGATAAATGTTCCAGCAGCACGCCAAACAAAGTACCAACCAACTTTGCAGTTTGCGGACCGAGCTGGATATGTTGTATACAAAGATCGCAAGGTGGTAGTCTTCTACAGTAACGACCTACGCGCAACACCAACGGCTCGGACACTACCTGGTACTTCTGATGAGGCGATAGCTTGCTGCCACGGCCTGTATCCCATTCAGCGATGGACCAACGACCGTGTACTGCACCGAAAAATATTCATGGCCCCCACTATCATTGCCGTTTACAATCGGTTCATGAACGGCGTTGACCGTGTCGATCAATTGCGCTCAACGAATCCAAACAGACGCCGCGAGAAGAGGCTTGACATGACGTTATTTACGTGGCTGCTGGATATGGCTACAATCAATGCTTTTGCGCTTTTGAAGCGTACGACAACGACAGCCTTGACACTACGCGAGTTCAAATAAGGAATTGCGGACACTCTGACGCGCAATGAGAAAGCGCTTCGGCGTCAACAACTTCGACGCAAGAAGAAACGCCAGCACGAAACCGTGGATGACGTTGTGGGAGCGGACGCGTCGTTGCATATTATCACACTCAGCTCGGCCAAGCACAGCAACGGCAAGCTCACGTGCTATCTGTGCAGTCTTAGAGGGATGTCAAAGAAAGCAAGATATGGATGCACCCAATGCGAATGTGGGTTTCGCGTAGAGTGTTTTAGCGCATTCCATTACCAAGACGTCTTCAAAGCGCGTTCGCACGGAGTTCGCGAAGCGCTGGACACGGTTTGCAGCGCGATGACCGATGCCCCTTTAGCATTTACACGGAAACGAACCAATAAGTCAATCACAGGCGTAGAATCACTAACGCTACCTTCAGCTTGATAATATATTTACCTTCTCGGCGTCCGGCCAAATCGTGTGCAATTGTCGTTTGACACTTGGGAACGTTCCCTTGCATGCTTCCACTTTTCAAGCACAGATACAAGTAGCACAGTGCCTGGCGGACAGCACGATTCCCTCGCCGTCTCCGCGACAGCTTGACTTGGAGGCGACACCCGGCCTCTTGAAGCTCGAAGCCGTACCGCTTCCAGTCACTCACAGGTGCTCCGCACCAACCGCACAAAACCTCCGCTTCGTCCATGGTGTGGAGAATGAGGTAATGCAATTTTGAGGGGGATTTTGTAGTAAGAGGTTGCGGCTCTTTCCTGCGCTCTCACGATTGGTTCAAAAATCCAAAATTCCATGCTTTCCTTTGTTCTAGTAGAGGACTCTGTGGACCCCTAAAAATGGTCGGGTAGTTAAAGGGCTAATTCAGAATTCAATTCGCACAGTATCACGCAAGTGCCTTCCTGCCCTCAGAAATCGGAACTTCATTGGTCGTACGAGCTCGGTGAAGGTTGGGAAAAGCAGATCTATTGTTGGTAGTGATAACTGGGTAATCCTTAAGCCAGATCCTACCACCTAGTGAGCTTTCCCGATGCATGCAGATCCGTAAGGTTAACCAAATTTACTACTTGGCCGGGTATATCTAAGAGGATATCAACTGTAAAGATCCCGATATAGGAAGCGGCAAGTACGACGAAAAGGTAATCAAAGCCAAGCGAGCACACCCGCAAGCATCCCTACGGTCAGATCGCAGATCGACACCGCTAGATCGTACAAGCTTGTGATCCGGACCCTACATCGGACGTATACTAAAGATCTTCCACTCCTGCTCCACCCCATCCCCGCGTCTCGCCAAGACGCTCAAGCTTCCACGACTTGAACGTCTCTGCAGTTACTAGAGGAGAAAGATCATGCTCTATCGACGGGTACACAAGGTGAGAAAAGCTCGGCAGATCACAGATCATCGGGAGACCCTACGTAAGTCGAGCTGGTGGGAAGTCGGATCAAGCATTCTCACAAAGTTTGCTGATCCCGCTCCACCACAAACCTTATTGACATATATTCTGTGTATTAAAGCTTACAAGCTCCACGTTTGGCACGCCGACCACACTGCTGTAGCTGGAGTGGGTACCGGCTACAGCTAGCGGTGCAGCGCAGCCATTTTCAACGATAATGTAAATAACGACATGTAGTGCATGCGCAGAGCTCAAGGTGCAAATGTATTTGTGCAGAGGCGAGTTATTCTCGTTTACCATGAGCCCTGCGATGACCGAACGCGGAACATTCTCCGAGTTGGCTCACACGGTCTGGCTATTTCTTGTATTAATGTAGCGTAGAAGCCTCAGCGCGCACGGTAGACGCCTAGTATCCTCGCATGACCTCACGTCTTGTGTGGAAACATTCTGCCCTCTGCACAATCTCTTCGGGTACAACAGAGTGAGCGTAGTCTCGTCACACCCGATTAGGTTTAATTAATGCCTTTTCTCTGCATCCCGCTGCTCGTCGCCGTGATAGGAGTCCATTAATGAAGCCCTGCACAAAATATTGCTGTCAGGACGGGAGGAGGACGTCTTTCAAAATGTTCAATCTAACAAGTAGCACGTTCCAAGCTCTAGGGGCCCAAACAACTCCCTGTAACTCTGTCACTGAGCTACCCAATATCTTTAGCGTCGTATCACAGGTAGTCGCATCGACTTATTCATTGTAGCCTAGCCAGATCCGCCAATTTCGTTGTCATTGTATTTGTAGACGTCAAATAGATTAGCCTTCGAAGCCGGAGTTGCGCGCAGTCTATGGAGCCGTTGCGTATGCGCCCAGGCTTGTTTGCTATCGGATAATGTTATAATGGGTTACGTGAAGTTCAGGACAGGGTTTGCATAATACTCATGTTTTTCACCATTTCATGTGAATTTCAACGCACAGCTAAAATAATTTTATCCCATCATCCTTTTCTTGTAAGATTTATTTTTAATAACGACCTTTGCTTAGTGATAATTCAGCTATTCAAATCACCAACCTCTTATTTTTCACCTGAGCTTGCAAGCTGATCATTGGGAGCTGGCCCGATCAGATACAGTAGTGTACGGTTTCAGGGAAGCCACCCGGTGTTTTGGTGGACAGCATTGTGATCACTTCCGAAATCCCTTTTCAAGGTTAATACATTCGACCATGCGTCCGCTCCTGCTGCTTATAATTGCGACTCTGTGTTTGCTCTTAGCAACTTGTGGGGATGCCTCCTCCGTCCCTGTTCGTGCGCTGTCGACCGAGCACACCGTTAATGAGATCGGCCCCCAGCACACCGTTTCTGAGAAAAGCCGTCTGCGCGGGGACAACAACAAGATGACCACGGGAGGCTTCAATGCTTACGACGAAGAGCGATCGGTTAGAGCTGGTTTGAACGAGGTGGCGGGTTCGATGAAGAAGGTTTGGGCCACCCTTGTTGAGCGTTTGTACAAGATCTGGCTGAAAATTACTGGTCGACCGACGAAAGTAGTCTACACTTAGTCTAGGCATCTTGGAAGCTTTTTTAAGATAATTTAGACCGTTCTCAATGTTGGAGGCCTATAGTGCTGCTTGAATGCTGTTAAAGACGCTGAAGTTCTAGAGGGTCAACAAGCAAGCTCCAGTTTCAAACTAGTGACAGGATGAATCGCTTTTTCCATTTGTACGAATGAAGCTCACTTACAACATATCAGGAACTACGTTTTTACTGACTAGTACTAGTACTGTAGTAAAACCGTGGTACGCTAATAATTCTAAGTGACTTCATTCATTTCCGTAATAAGCCCTATATTTACTAGCGTCAGCAAATGGATCACCGTGCGACGCAGACAGTAAGCTTTGTACTGTACCAAAGGGCGGGGCTCAACGGGTTGATCCTTTTTTAATGTTCTATCTTGGTCAGAAGAGAACCCCACCTTAGTACCTCATTCGAAGTGAACTCAATGTCACGTCTTCTAACCATGGCTCCCACGGAGGTCGTCAAGCTCTCGTATTGGGTATTCACGGTCTGGTGGCTCATCATTCTCGGTATACATGCTGTCACCGGAGTGTATACTGCTCTCTACGCCTATTGCTACTGGGTCCTGAAAGACACGTATCTAAACAGTTATCTCGATTCGTACCAAATTGGAATGTCATCATCATATCATAGAACGATCAGCGCTGTACATGCCTCGATGTCTGCACTGCACGAAATGTGTATCCTGTCGATGCTGGGGGGGATCAATATGGCTGCGCTCTCTTGTCTTCACTCCGTGGTCATCATGCGCAGTCGACTCCAAGAATACAGAAGAAAAAACATCCCGAACACAGTCAGCTTTGATGGAAAGTTTCTCGAAAGTCTACGTGAAGGCCACCGATCGACATGGATTTTTTGGGGTCAACGGAGGATACTTTCACACGTTGCTGGTGTGCAGAGAAATCATAGAGACAGCCCTACAGACCGTGCAAGCTTACCGCATGAGCTCGCTGTTACCACGAACGTTGCTCAACCGATTCTACGTCATGTTACTCGCTGCCAACTGTTGGTCTTCCGTCATCGTCTATTCTGCTTTTTTCAAAGGTGACGAAGCACGCAGACGGTTCGTGTGCATTGTGCTAGATTGCGTTCTTGATCTCATGTCCTGTATGGGTGTCGAGCTCATGATTTTGCTGAGCTACTCAAGCGATTACGTTGTCGAAATTCAAGGATTCTGGGGGTTCCTGTGGCAAAACGAACAGTGGACAGCGCGAGCTCTCAATGAGTTTCGAATGGTAGTCGTTGTGTCGTGGTCGGATTTGATAAGTCGCGCCTTCTTTTCGTTTGGGTTGGTCTTGACCACTACCAATATGAAGGAGCTGCTCGAGCACGTACCACGGAAGAGTAATCAAGTGACCGAATCTGTTCCCAAAGATGACGCAAATGTGCACAACAAAACTCGTGAAATGTGTTGGGGTAGCAATCTCGATTCTGCCAAGGCGACGTCAGTAATGCCTCAACTGGACCTTTTGCCACCTCGCAGCAATATAAACTTACGTTCTCATATTCGACGACATTTGTTGCGTACAGTTCATCTGCTATTCGCAGCCTGGGGTCTTGTGGTGCTGGGTCTCCACATTCACGCATCAGTTCAACCATCACTACCGCAGTGCTTAATGCAAGTGAGACCGTGGACTTCCTCTCGACCATCATGCTATCTTGTGGGTCTTGATTGCCACACCTTGGCCATTTCTGGCAAGTCTGACGAAGTGGAAGATAAATTCAGCGAGTTTGACGGCTCCACTGTTGTGCAGCTATTAATTCGACACTGTCCGGCATTAGAAATGGTAGGCTCTATCAATGAATTTCATGGCGTTCGTGGTATCAAAGTATACAACTCGACTATCATTGACTGGGGCGAATCTGCTGCTATTACGAATACGAATCACCCAGAAATAGTGTCACTGTATGTTGTTCGTACCAACATGACAGGTGGAGTATTGCCAACCGGGTTGCAGTCAATAGATTTCCCGCGGAATTTATACGACATTGAAATATGCGTAACAAATCTCAACTCGTTGCCCGACAATCTCGACTTGAAATGGAACCACAATTCGATCATCCAGGTGGAATACGGCCAGCTATTAAATGTTCCCTCGGTACTGTTGCGACTGGAGCCTACAACCCTTTCTGTGTCTGGTAACCCGATTACAGAAATTCCTGCTGAGGTTTTCGAGCTTCCTAATTTATTGACTCTTAAGATCAGTGAGATGAATATCGACGAGCTGCCACGCAATGTCACTTATGTAACTTCTTCGCTGTACTGGATGTGTCTTAGAAACACCAATATCTCGCTCTTTTGGTCGTGGATTGATCAACTCGTAAAGGCAGGCATGACATTCGTGGTAGCTAAAGGCTCTCCATATTGCATAGATCTCGAGAGAATCCAGAGTGGAACCAGCAATACCTTCAGCGTCTCATCTTCTCCCGAACACTCACCGATTTTGATGGATCCGTCCGAGACGAATTTACAGACAATCTTGAGTTTTATTTACTGCGGTGAGTACGACCAATTGTTTTATTTTCTCTTGGTTGACGACCACTATATGGCTATCAGCACTCCACCTCCTTTAGTTAGACCGACACAATAACTGTATCTGGATTACTGAATTAAAGTTTTTAAACATTTAAAAAACAAGGTTTTATGCCGCTTTTGAAAAAGAAGTTTGACTGTTTACTGTCTTGTCCTAACTTTCGTCTCCATTACCAGAGGTTATTACTAACCTCTCGATTTACAGAGGTTATTAACCTCTGTAAATGTAGACGAAAGTTAGGACAAGACAGTAAACAGTCCAAATCATTTTGGTTATTAACTTCTGTAAATGAAGACGAAAGTTAGGACAAGGCAAAAAAAAATTAAGACCCTTCACATTGCACCCAGGGGGGTGACGGCAATGCTTTTCTCGCGTCTTCTACGTGGGAAAACTGAGCTCTCGACGCACCTGCTGTATGCAACGATATGAAAATGAAGGCTGTCAGTCTCACCATTATCGTTTCAAAACATTCTCTCTCTTCAATTCAGCCAAGTTATATACTGAACCAAAGTCTATAGTTTCACGGCTTGTAGCCGTCGAAACTGTTTAGCTTGTAGTGCTGCTTGCACCGACAGATCAGACACGCCGGCTTCCACGTCTCCGGGTAAACTGGTGATTTGTGTCATTGGAGCCAACGCATTGCAGCCCATAATCGAAATATTGTTAGCACTAATAAAGTCGGAGCTGATATCAGCCATGGGGTACGCAGTCGCCACGACTCCACAAAACCGCTGCAGATACGTAAATCGCCCTTGGAAATAACTCCACGAGACTGGGAAGGAGCTTTTATTCGTGCTGGAATCCAGGGTCGATTGCAACATCGAATCCCGACAATAAGAAGCGCACAGATCCTGGAAATCCTGCTCGATCCAGTCGATATCTTGTCGTGACCAGCCAGCAAGTCGAAGTCGCTGCATTTGAGGACGAACTGTCGCTGAAAATTGACGTCCACGTAGCTTAACGAGATCTTGCGGTAACACAGCCGGTAAGTCCGCTACAACCGCGCCAATTCCATCGATATCAAGCGTGATAGAATAGAGCCCAGACACGAGGTTGACCACACCTGTAGCAATCTCATTCACCACTAAATTAACGGCCTCGTCCTCGGTCTGTAGCGCGTCCGAGACGAAGGTACCCAGATCTTCCAGCCCTGTACAAACGTCCTTCGTGTCGATCGAGTACCTGCCATCCTTCGAAATGATGGAATTATCCGTTCTTGACTGAGCGGTGGCTGCAGCCACAGCAGGATCGTCAAGTTCCACAGGCCCCGAGATGCTGAACCACTTGATCAAGAGCGTTTGTAGCTTAACCACGGCATCTCGCTGCTGAGAAGTTTCTAAAGTAAAACCCGAAATATCTTCCAGAATTGGTAAAACTTGCTGGCCGATACGAGCAGCAACTAACACGCGTATCCACCACGAAGCAGGCGGTGCAGAACTCGACTGTGATCGCTCAAAATGCTGTCGGATACTCGCACCATAACGTCGAAACCACATCGCAACAGTAGCAACCGATTTCCAGCGACTGTCGTTGAGACTCGGAGCACTCGTCTTGATCGTAGTAAGCAGCACACGTTGACGACTAACGTACGCGATTAACGTCGTGAGCTTTGAATACACCTCGTCGCTACCGAGAATTCTGGTGAAAAACCTCTGCATAGCTGCATCGAGTTGACGAGCAGCACAGCAAACTCGAAGAAATCCAGGCTTGGCGACACTCTCGAAGCGACTAGCCACTGCGTTACGGAGTAACAGTCGCGGATCATCGGATTCGTGCGCAGTGATCCCGTCGCTGTCGCAGATCACAGCCAGCATCGTGTCCTTCCATCGAGGAACAATAGCATTCAGCGCTGTTTCGGCAATTTCAAAGACCCCACTGGACCCATCAGCGTCCGATCGCCGCCGTTTGTTTAACGGGATCGACAGCACATGGAAACTCGAGATTTGTCCGTCTACAAACACTCGAAGCTGCAGATGTAGACAATATTCCACTTGAGCTTCAAAGAACGACGCCGGGGCAATCGGTGCCACTTGAAGACCGATCGAGAAAACCCCTGAGCTCTTGACAATGTCAGAAATCCTCTGAAAATTAATAGCACATAGAAACTTCGAATACTGCGCCACATTGATCGGCGATAATTGTCTTTCGTCGTCGAAGAACGGACCCAAAGGTGTTGGCTGCGAGCTAGCAAGTAGCATTCTGGATGTGTTGTTGAGAGACCCACTAAGACTCAAATAGTCCACGAACTGCTGGAACTGGACAGGGTCTTTGATCACAATACGGTATCTGGCAATCAGCATGTCAACCGCTACACCTTCTGCTGCGTTCACCATGTCCTCAAAGTCTGCTACTGCGTGCAGCTGGTACGTCTGTCCCGCAATAACGGGAGATGCCGCATATGGCAGCATGATGCCAATGAGTACCGTGACGATGTCTCGGTTTATGAGCCAATGCAAAGTGTGACCGGTATTTGCAGGCAATACCGTTCCTTGTGGTCGAACGGGCGTTGAGGCTGTCGTGGGCGTCCGCTGTGTCTTGCGGGGTCTTTGTGTGGACTCACTGGCTTGAGTGAGCTCCATGGACGCCCCCGCAGCGATGAAGAAGGCGCGTTTGCTGTCATCGCTGGATAAGGCGCAGTATTCAGCCCACTTAGTCGGGTGCTGCCCCACGTGGTGGATCTGGATCGAGTCTTTGCGGAACGGAGGCTTGAACACCGCCACTTTCTCTGTGGCGCGTCGCTGCGCTCCTGGTTTGTTCTCGCGGCCGAACAGCTGACAGAACAAGCAGGTGGCTGTAAGCACCTCGCTCGTGTCCGGGTCCCGGTCGCCAACACGCAAGCCCAGTTCCACGCCATATTTTGGGCGGAATGGCGCTTGCCTTTTGGCAACCATTTTCTGGCTTCTAGAGAAATGGCAGTTATTTGTGGCTTGAAATACGTGTGTGGACCACATATCTAGAAATTCATTCTGCATCGAACACTAAATTTTATGGCAAAACAGAGATGGCTGCATTATCGGAGGAAGTAGAGCCCTCGACCCTGGGTGTGTATGCCCAGCAGCTGCAGCGCTGTCTGCAGTGGGATCCAGTCAATGGCGCGGAAGGACAGAACAAGCAGGTTTTTGTCGAGGCGCTGACAGAGATCGCGGCGCTGCCTTTGGACAGCATCAGCATGGAGATCCGTCGACTGCTGGTCGTCTCGAATGCTGTTGCTAACACACAACCAGCGCAAGACCCAGAAAGGGATCACATAGTCGAAATCCAATCGCAGCATGTACATCTACGCAACATTATTGCTGCACTGAGTGCACGTGACGTTCAGCTCAAGTGCAAGGCTGCGAATGCGGTGGGCTCATTGTGCATTTCGAGGGTGGCAGGCCAGCAACTGCTCGGAATTTATGGAGAACAAATACTAAAGAGCGTCTCGAAAATGGCTACAAGAAAGAACCAGTGGGTGCAGGGTGACGCCTTCTTTGTTCTCGGCTGGATGGTGGTCATTGCAGATGAAGAAACGCTGACCGCCATTGCCGAACTGCTACCAACAGTGATTAAACATTTGCATCGTAACGTGAATTTGTCGATAGAAATTGAGGGTGAAAATGACGGAGAGATGGCATCAAGACGATCTAAAGCTGCGTTAGCCTCCTCGGAACAGGCCTCTAATTTCAGAGTGTATGCGCTGGTACTGCTTCTAAACTTCAGTCAACGACATGTCGACGTCTTCGCGGAGCAATTGGAGCAGGCGTTGCCCATGCTGAAAGACCTAATACTCAAGCTTCTTGAGCCGTTGCCTGCAGCTTTCGAAGACGAGTCTGAACCCGGAATCCGGACAACATTCTTCGACTTATCGGAATTTGCGGAAGTGCTGAGACTGACGATCACCCTTCTAAGTGTGCTAGTGGATCAACTTGAAGGGACTGCTTCTCGACTTTTAGACCTCAAGGTACTACCATCGTTGCTAAAACTCAAGCGAGTGCTTGAAACGTCAGAGGCTTGCGAACTCGTCGGGGACACAGGCATTCAAGAAATCACGGAGAGACTCGACGCAGTTATCGAAACTCTCCTAAACTGCAGATAGCACATAAAACCATGTAAAACCATGTTTAAAAAAAAGTGTTTCGCACTTAATTGAAACAGGTTCTTGTCAAAATAACGCGGGAGCAAGATGGCGGAACTTGTGGCAGCGAACGCCACGGACACGATGATCGTGACGACTGCAGACTTCAATGAAGATAAGCTCAAACTGCTGCAGCTGAACCCTGAGATCGAGAACGCCATTACTACGGGCAGCAAGTGCGTTTATCTCTCTGACTTCGCTAATATACCAGTGCTTTTGTGATACATGAACTGATCATTTTTCAACTACAGAGTCTTTATCGTTGGCAAACCCGACGCTCGAGCTGTTCTGTGTACGGAGGACAAGTCGTATTACATAAAAAAGGAGGATACGTCGAATTTGCGTCTCCTTACGACTCATACGGACTGGAGCAAGCCAAAGGAGGCCTCGGACAAGAGAAGCATTCAAGTGTCCGGCGCTGCTCGCTTCCACTACCTGGTAAGCTTCAGCTGAACACCTTAAATATCTTGCAAGAAAACTCTCATGTCGTATTGCTATGCATAGCTCGAACATAAGGTCCCTGATCCCACGACGTTGAGAGCTTTATTGCAAGAGGCGCCATACGAAAAACCTAAGCGGGATGCAGCTCAAGCCAAGCGAGCGAAGTTGAGCAAATTATACTCGACAAGTGACTTGGTCTCTGCTTTGCAAGTCAGTGAGCAGGAGGTTCTGGCTATGCTGAAGGAGGTTCATGCTTTTGAGGAGGCCGGTACATGGCGTTTACTGGGACCCATGTACCAGTCTCAGGTTTTCACAGACATGTTGGATGCCATCGTCCAGCATGACTGGAATGTATTGACGCAGCCCGGTGTGCCTGTCAAGCAGCTCCTGAATGAAATCGATGAGCCTCTAGTGGCGATTCGCCAGTGCTGCAAGTTGTATGGCTCATTGAAGGCTGTTAACGGCGAGGATCACTGCACACTGGACCCTGTGAAGGTTGCGACGTTCCGAGCCAAGTCATTGTTTGACGAGCAGACAGCAGAAGCGCAATTCCAGGCTCAACAAGACCACGTGGCTCTGAATCCTGCCGACGCTGGGTGGGAGTTGGACCGGTTCATGGAGAAGTGGAAGCTCCGTGTTCCTGACAGCGTGACCGTCACCTTGGAGATGCTCAATGGACTTGTGCTGGTCAAACCCCAGAAGGCTGGAAAGCCCACACGCATCGTATATTTCCCCGAGGAATTGTTGTCCCCTGAGCCGAAGAAGCGCTTCGAGCAGCTCTTCAAGATGCAGGAGAAATGGACCATCAAGCAGCTGGAACCTTACATCAAGTACGTGTCTGTATTGCCCCGTTTTGAAGCCATCGTACGCTAACTTTACGCGTATTTTTGCTGTTGTTATAGGGCGTTGATTACTCCTAGCACGACACAAGCGTCGTTGCTGCTCAAGCACACGCGCTCGTCGCGCCAAGGCAACTCGACGGAGAAGTTGTACAGCCGACGATGATCTGCCTAAATAAACATAGAGTGCAGCTACCTAAATACGTAAAGTGATATGGTATCAAAGTATGTTAATCCTCCAGTGCTGGAGCACAGTAACCAAGTACTAGCAGACTCTCCACCGCACCAAAGGATTGAGCTTTTACTATTGGCTCATGCATGAAGGACATTGCGACAGGTTGGCAGCCCGCTGGACTGCCAGTCACTGACCCAAACCGAAGCAGAGCCGAGATTCTATTAGAGATCGCAACACACGACAGAAGACGAAAAGGCAAGTGCTTGGTGACCACAATTTTCAAAAATTTCTAGTTGTCGCGCGAATGTCGTCTTGGTTTGCTTTGGTGTAAGAAACGCACTTATAGAGTGGCTTACATATCATTGTCATCCCAATTTCAGCCAACCAGAGGAGTACAAAAAGTATCTGATTGCGCGTGTCACTCGCAGTTTTTGTCGCCGACGGGATGAGTTGAAGATGGCATCGCTCCTCCACGACATCCATTCAATGAGACCTCCTACGTGGACCTACTGCGCAAGATCATCGGTGTATCCGAGAAGGTGCAAAATGCGCCGAGTTTGGGGCTCATCCCTCAGGAGAATCTCGTGTCCGATATTGTACTAGCCGAGCTCCAGCCCTACACCAAGACGAGCGGTGGATATCTGACCGTCGAGCGCGTGGAGTTTGTTGCTGGTCGTGGCAATGTCATCATCACGTATCAGCACCCGGATTTTGCTCATAGCGAGAGGACGGTGGCGTTCGTAGGCTCCCACATGGACGTGGTGCCTGCCAACCCCGAGGGCTGGGAGGAAGACCCCTTCACGCTTACAGTGGAAGGTGACAAGCTGTACGGACGTGGTACAACGGACTGTTTGGGTCATGTAGCACTCATGACGGAGTTGTTTAAGGGACTGGCCCAGAAGAAGGTCCGTATCGAGACTAAGGTGGTCTGTGTACTCATCGCTTCCGAGGAGAGCACGGAGATTCCGGGGGTGGGGGTGGAAACTCTGATGGAGTCAGGCAAGATCGATTTATCAAGAATGGGCCTGTCATTTGGATCGATTGTTCCGACAGCCAGCCTTGCATTGGCACAGCTGGTGTGATCACGTGGACACTGAAGGCCACTGGCAAGCTGTTCCACAGCGGTCTACCCAATTATCACGAGACCGGGGACTTGGGCTCGGGAAGGTGAATTGGAAAGTGAGATATATCAAAGAGTTAGAACTTACTGCTGGTCTCCTAGGAGACTCCTTAGTCGTCCACTGCGGTCCTTTGTAGCAGGACCACTGATGATGTTCATGGTGATGCTCGCTCCTTCCTTGAGCATCAGCAACTTGCGTGTCCATGGCACGCAGGCTTGAGGTTCTTGCCGTCTTCATACACAACATGTAGTGGCGACCATGGCAGTTGGCGCCGGAGCATCAGCTGATGATGCTCGAGTGGAGTGAATGCATGTGCTGCTTGAAGAAGTGAGGTGACAGCACGCTGTCACCTTCAGCGAGCTTCAGCTTGACAGAACGTCGTCAGCACCACACAGCCCCACAAAGCTGCAGCTCGCGCGTCTCGCTTGTAGCTACTGTAGTTGAGCACGCAGTAGGTCGTCTCCAGCCGACTCAACATAGTCGACCACTGCTTGTGGCACGTCCTTGTGCATCGTGTTAAAGCTCTCCCAGCTATTCTCAATAGGCTGTAGGCCAGCCCATTTCACCAACAGCTCCCAGAGCTGTAGCCATTTGCTGTAGCGATGATCTTCGAAAGCTGCCACATCCAGCACGATACCTTGCGACGTGACCAACTCCATCATCTCTACGTCCATGTTAAGGTCAGCATCAGCGTAATACTTCAGACGGGAGCCGTGTACTTCGTACCCTTTACCACTCACCAGATGCTCCACCTTGAACGCGTGCGAAAGTGCCTTCGTAATGCGAAATGGACCCAGCCACTGGCCAAGTAGCTTGTTGTTGGGTAGTCGCTGATCGATTTTGGACCACAGAACATAATCTCCAACATCGAAATTGCACACCACGACAGTTTTCTTCTGCATGTCCGCCAACCGCTTGCGCTCCTTAATGTCCACGACTTCTTTGTGTAATCCCTCCAGCGACAGCCGCAGCTTGGCCAGTTGAGGTTCCACGTCCTCGAGATCCACAATCAGAATTTCTTCGCCATTCTGGGCCGGACGAACGACCATATCGAGGGCAGATGGTGACTGCAGTCCTGTAAAAAGCTCAGTGGGAGAATGACCAGCTAACGAACGCATCGGTGTGTGGTTGAGATTCGCCTGGACCACAGGCAACAAATAGGGCCACTCGTGAAAATCGAGCCCGTAGTCAATGAGTAGCGCGCGCAGTACCTGTAGCAGGTCTCTGATGACGCGTTCTACGGTGCCGTTGAGCCACGGCGAGTATACAGGCGAGAATGAACGTTCAATCTTGAGCCGTGCACAGAAGTTATCCACAGTCTGGTTCCGAAAGTGAACTCCTTGGTCAGAAATCAAAATGGTTGGGCATCCATACCTCTTGTACCAATCGATAAGAGCCTCTGCGGCCACATATGCCGTCGGGCTGAAACATGGAAACAGATCACAAAAGTGTGTCAAAGAGTCCTTGAGCACCAACACATACTTCGCTTCGCCGAAGGTGTCACCAAGGTAGGTGAAGTCCCAATGCAGTGCTTGATTCCTTGTCGTTGCTGTGAAAGTAGGGCCATAGGGTCTCTGGATCTGTCGGGGGGCCTTGACGTGCTTGCATATTAGACACGATCTGACAAATTGAGACACCTTCTTGCTGAGATTCACCACGAAGAATCTGTCGGAGAGTAGCGCCACCATAGCAGCTTCACCTCTGTGACCCTGTGCACCACAGTGTACCACTACCATAATGCGAGATAGTAGATCCTTAGCGCTTGTCGGAATCCATGGTTTGTGGTCCACAACCAACACCCCTCCCTCCTCCACGACCGGCAGCGAAGTAGAAAGCCGAGAAGCTGATGCCTGTGCGTCTATTATGTCCGAAGACCCTGGGTCTACAAACTCAGCGTCCGCCAGCGGCCTTAGGCGGGATAAGTTGGAAACGGCCGATGGAGTCTGGCGACGGGTTTGGACAGCACGGACATGAACCATCTCACGTGAGAGTCACCTAGAGATGATATCGGCCCACAAGTTACGCTCCCCTGAAATATGCTCGATAGTGTATCGTAACCCGAGGAGACGCAGCGACCAGCGCTGCAGACGATCGTGGACATGTTGCTTGACATCCATTGTAGGCGAGAATAGGTAGATGAGATTGGCATGGTCACAATAGAGCCTAAATCCTTTCTGACGCAGCAGAAGGTATTCCAGATCTGAGCAGACCTTGATAATCAGGAACGCCTCCTTCTCGATTATAGGCCAACGAAGTTGAGCGTCGCGATAAACACCACCTTTACATATAACCAGCGAGTGATCTTATTCATCGACTGGTCGGGAACCGTCCCAATTACGGACTGCTGTAACGACAATGCTGTATCCATTCAGGCTTGCGACCGTGAACATACACAGGTCATTTTCTTCTACTGGAAAAGTCATCATGGCCGTGGACTTGATGGCAGCAACAGCTGCACTGAAGGCCGCGCACTCAAGCTCCGTCCATTGGATATTAACATTGAGTGCGTTGCGGTTGCGCCGACCGACCTTCTTCTTCTCGGCATCGAGTTTAGCCAGTAAGGGAGAGAATATACGCGCAAAATTCACGATAGAATCACGAAGCCAATTGGATGCACAGACGAAGTATTGCAGCTCGGCGGCTGTCGATGGCAGTGGAAGCTCCGTCAATGCACTGATACGGCGCGGATCATGGCGAACACCATCGCCAGAGATAACGCGACCACACCATGTCACCTCACGCTTGAAAATGACGCTCTTCTTCGCGTTGGGCTTAATGTTGTGCCTGTGTAGCAGCATAAAGAATCGTCGCAGGACATCAATAAACTCGTCCATCGTTTTAGCATATAAAAGCACATCGTCGATCCACACCTGTGCATTGTTGGGAATCAAGTCGGCCAAGACGCGCTGCATTTGACCCTGGAAATGCCATTGCACCTTGAGGGACCCGTGTTGGTGTATACACACCTTCATCTGTCATAAATGACAGCACCTCCTGGCTCTCTTCTGAGAGCGGCAACTGCCAGAATCCGTTCTTCATGTCAAAGTTAGCCATGGCTACAGCACCATTCACGTTGCTCATCACTGCTGCTACATCAGGCATGGTACCAGCAATTGGCACTGTGGCTTGATTAACAGCACGGTAATCGATGGTGAGGCGAAATTCATCTTTGGATCCTGGTTTGCAAACAGGGACGACCGCGCTTGCCCAGCGTGCCGACCTGTTCTCCTTCACAAGTCCATTCTTGGCAAGCTGCGCCACGTGCTCACGAATAAATTGCCGCTGCAGGGGTGCGTACTTGCGTTGCTTGCAGCGAATTGGAGTGGTGCCTTCCTTTAGCTGAATGCGCAGCGGCTCCACCCTAGCGGGAGGATCGTCACTCAGACTATCTTGCCGTATATATGGATACTGGTTTAGAACGCCATGCAATTCTTCAACTTGTTCGACGGCCATGCCATTAGCAGCGGCGTCAACGACCATCGCATTAATGCTGCCCTGTGCGTCCTTAGCCAGTTGGTGATCCTGCGAGGTATCTCCCACCTCATAGTCGTCACTGTCATCCACGAAGTCAGCCCCATTGGCTAATTGAGCCAGCATGTCGTCCACATTGATACCCAGATCATTTAGGGTGTCCTTGCCTAGTAAAAGTTCTTCTTCTTCGCTGTCCATAACCACACATGTGACAGATGGCACGTTCACCACACCTGCAGCCGTGTTCAGTTTGAGATCCACTTCCACCGTACAGTCGCATTCTAGTCGTCGGCCGTCAGCAACCACTACTTCCACTGGGACGTCCAAGCGTTGAATGAGCAGGTCAGGCTGGAGGCCCAGTAAAGAGTGTATCACACAGCTTGGGATCCCATTGCGCTCAGCACCCGTGTCTGGAATGAACATGACGTCGAAAAGGTTATTAATCTTCACAGTGTTTGCGCTTTCGCGGCCTTTAACAACCTTCGAGCGGACCATAGTGCTGCTCGAGTCCTTGGCAGCGCTATAGCGGGCTAGAGCTTCTTCACGCTGCGCAGCTGTGGCTGTAGGGTACTCACGCATCCAATGGGGGCCATGGCAAACTAAGCACCCGTCCACAGGCGGTGTCGCGGCCTTGGCAGGCTTCGGGGAGCCTTTGCTCCTCTCGGTACTAGCTGTAATATCGCGGCGTCGTCCATCCTTACCAGCCTTGGTGCTTAGTTTTGGTCCTGACGCGCCAGTTGTGCTGGAGGCGGGTTGACGCTGGGAGCTACGCGACGAACCGCTCTCCTTGGTGAGGCGATGAAAACGCTGTTGCGCTTTGGCATGCTCTAGTATGAGATTGAATAGCGCCACGTCATCTGTCTTGCAATCTCGGCGCTCCAACTCAACTAGACGCTGGATCTGTTCTTTTAAAACAGCAGGCTGAAGATTCTTGATCAGCAGGCGACACCTGGCCTTCATACGATCTCTGTATCCTTGTAGAGACGGGTCTGTTTTGCCAATCAGACCCTGTAGGCCGTTCTCTCTCACTACCTTTGTAAAGTCTTGAAAGTAGCGAAAGACGCGAGCATCACAGTCATCTGTAGTCAGATCCATGTGTAGTGATTGGTGAACCAATGACTTCACGTCGGGCACAAACTCATTGACGAGAGCTTGACTGCGAGCATGAATGAGCTGCAGGACATCACTGTCCGTGATGGACTCCAGCGGGCGTTGCAGAATGTAGGCCGAGATGATATCCAGCACTTCAGGCTGTATAGCGCCCTTTACCGTTCCTACCACACGCTCGAATATTTCACCAGTCACAGTGCAGCGGTGACGTATCTTGGTCACATAGTGGCTCCACTCACGGTACCATGACACTAGCGAGGCATGATCCCAGCTTACAAGCTTGGGTGGTCGAGCGACTTCGTAAATTGGCTGGGGAACGGTAGGGCCAGCGTCCATGTTGACGTCTCCATCCGGGTCCAATGGGAACCTGCCGCCTACCATATCTCAAGGTAAGGAGCAGTAGCGAACTTAAGGCGAACTTTGCCTAGGTTCTGAGGAGAGTCGTACTTATCCGACCAGTTTTGCTCTTCAGTCGGCGACGCGCACTGAAGGGAGATGCAGCCTTGTCGACGACGCGCACGAGGTTGCTAAAGAGAGGTTTCAACGCTTCCAAGCGAAAGAATTCTTTATCACGAGACCGGGGACTTGGGCTCGGGAAGGTGAATTGGAAAGTGAGATATATCAAAGAGTTAGAACTTACTGCTGGTCTCCTAGGAGACTCCTTAGTCGTCCACTGCGGTCCTTTGTAGCAGAACCACCAATGATGTTCATGGTGATGCTCGCTTCTTCCTTGAGCATCAGCAACTTGCGTGTCCATGGCACGCAGGCTTGAAGTTCTTGCCGTCTTCATACACAACATGTAGTGGCGACCATGGCAGTTGGCGCCGGAGCATCAGCTGATGATGCTCGAGTGGAGTGAATGCATGTGCTGCTTGAAGAAGTGAGGTGACAGCACGCTGTCACCTTCAGCGAGCTTCAGCTTGACAGAACGTCGTCAGCACCACACCAATTTGGGTATTAATGGCATTTACCAAAATTCAGGAGCGGTTCTACAAGGACTTTGGTCCTTTACCTCAAGAAAAAGAGTACAACTACTCATGTCCATCGACTATGAAGCCGACGCAAATCGAGTCGTCCACCAACGGACTGAACCAAATGTACGTCAAAAGCCGTTTGAGGTGCTGGAGCTGCAGGATTACTAAAAATTATATGTTGAGTACAGCCCGCCATGGGTCAAGATCTCGGGCGACGTGCGTCTGTCGCCGTTTTATGACATGAAGGACGTACGTACCAATTTGCTTCGCTATTAGTGGGTAATATGCAGCTAACTTGTCTTGATGGTGTCAGTTAATTGCCAAGGTTCACTCGTATGTTGACGACTTGAACGCCAACATCACGTCGCTGGAGGGCAAACGTGGTCCTGTGTCAAAGTACTCGCTACCGGAGGAGAATTGGAACGGCAAGCTGGAGCTGACATTCGAGAAACAGTACTTCGAGGGTATTGCCTGCTCCCTTGAATCTGTCGGCTACAAGTACGTACCATCACTTTCAGTCTACATGCAAAGCTCACTAAATGTCGTAACATTTGTGCCTCTTTTAGATCGTTGCATGCTGCTATCGCGGATGTGCTGGGCGAGGCTAAGCCGTTCTCCATTAGTGGCAGTTTGCCACTAGTGCGCGACTTGCAACGTGCCGGTTTGGACCTGACACTGACAGGTTTCGGTAAAAGCTCGGTATACCACGGCGACAATGAATACTGCCAGCTGAGCGAAATGAAGAACGCTATCAAGATCCTCGCACGCACAGTCGCGAGCGTGGAGGTGGCCACCTCGTCGTAAAAAAAAAACATACGTAGCACTGCTACGTAAGTTTTTTTTTTTCTGGCACGCCCTGTAATTTATACTTTCATCGTGTAAACGACTGCTACGGTAGCAGTACTTTCATCGTGTAAACGACTGCTACGGTAGCAGTCGCTACGGTAGCAGTCGTTTACACGATGAAAGTATAAATTACAGGGCGTACCAAAATTTTATCATGCGTGGCCGTTGTGGCTAGCACCTTGATTAAATGGCTACATTTAGTCTGAAAAGGCGAAAACCGTTGGCATTTGCCACCTGCGCTACAATGGACAGCGACGACAGCAATGCTCCGTGTTGGGAGAATATTCCGTTCAGCGACTTGACTGTCTGCGAGACAATCGGTGGCGGTGGAGTCGCACTGGTGCATCGTGGGATCTACCGCAAAAACTCGGTCGCCTTGAAGACTCTCGTACGTTTCTACTAAAATGTAGCCATCATCGTCTTTGTTGCTAAACGTTGCCAAATGTTGACGACTTAGTTCGATCCGCGGGTGGACGAAGCGCTCAAACAGGAATTCATGGACGAATTGCTCGTCATGAGGTCCGTTGCTTCCTGATAGCTTCTCGTTGTCAACGAATCTAACATGCCAGGCTTTAATAGCAAACTGAGGCATCCGAATGTGGTCAACTTGATCGGAGCATGCTTAGAGCCGCCCAATCTGTGCATGGTGATGGAACTCTGCGACTTTTCGCTTCATCACTTGCTCCACGGAACCAATACGTACTTGAGCTCCCAACAAATGACTCGTATCGCCGTGAGTCAACTCAAATTACCTGCAATTTTTGCCGGATTATTATTATATTTACAATCGCTGGAAGGGAGAGATTGCAGACGGTATGCGCTTCTTGCACTCTAGGAGACCTGCGGTTATCCATCGGTACATTTGTCTTGTTTTTCATGCATACACTTTCTTTCGAAATGAAGACTACCTTTTCTGTCAATTGCGTAGTGACCTGAAAAGTGCCAACGTCCTGCTTGACCAAAAAGGTGTAGCCAAGCTCTGCGATTTTGGTCTCGTACGGTGAGTTTCTTCCGTATTGTTCACGCTTGTACACAACTCAACGCTGTTGAGTAGCACAAAATTCACGACGGCAGGGACGCCCAGCTACATGCCGCCTGAACTGCTGAGCGGACAACCGTTCTCCAAAGCTGTGGATGTCTTCATGTTCGGAATTCTTCTATGGGAGGTGAGAAACATCACTAGTGACTTGGCGCCTAGCTGCTCTAATGTGTCCACGCTGATAGATTTTCAGCCGCGATATTCCGTTTCGAGGCTACGATGTCTCCGATATTAAGAGACGTGTCCTCGCAGGAGAGCGCTTCCGCGTTCCGACAGTGGATTGCCCGCGCGAGTGTCAGGTAACAAATACCTTCCGGTACTTGATGCTCCCATTGCCTTCTCTGGATAATTAGTTTGTTTGTTGCAGGAATTAATGAAGCGATGTTGGGACGGCGAGCCAAGTTGCCGTCCAACATTTGATGAGGTGTGCCAAGTGCTGCGGAATGTTTCCTTTGCAAGATCTTTCGAGGCCTCTCAAAGTGTCTTTGAAGGCGACGCGCTCGACTGTCTACTTAACGCGAAGTAGCAGAGACAGTATCACTTGATTTTTTTCGTTCTGCTAGCTAAGTGAAGCTACTCCATCTTACGCAGAGTCTTTGGCCCACTGGTCGAGTCCAAGGTCGTTCCAGCGATCCACCTTCTCACCCGCAGTCCACATCGGAGGCTCTCCTGCAGCAATATTAATACAACTTCAGCAAACTTTAACTGCATACACTAACCAGTTGGGCTTTCACTGCCATTGGGGTCGACATCTAGAGCAGGAGGCACCTCGATCTCTGGTCAACAGTAAGAATTAAAACATGTATGAGGGTTTAATAACATACATTGTTTGTCAATATCATTATATTTACCATCGTCCGACAATGTGTCCGTGATCCAGTCGTCGTCCACGATATCCAGGAAGTGCTTGCGCGGGAACAAGCTCGGTAGCTTACTGTCCTACTCGAACCAACGCCAGTCCTTCAACGTCAGCTACACACACGCACATTCCGCCTGTGCATACGACAAGTGACAACGCACCATTTTGCACCTGGTAAAGATGGATACAGACCATCACTCATTTTGCAAAAATTGCCATTACATAAGGAAAGCAAGTCAAAATGTCTCCATTGTCTGTTTTTCGCTTCGATGACGCCGAGTTCTGCGCAGCGCAAGCCTCGTCGAGGTAAAACTCGCCCAGCCGGGCGTAAAGATGACCCTCCTGAAGTTCGTCTGTCCAAAACTTTGGCATACGCTTTGCGTCACGGCGCGGAGGATCTCCAACTGGACATTAGACCGTCGGGGTTCGTCCCGTTAGCCCAACTTCTCGCTCTCCCCCTGTTTCAGTCATTCACGGAGCAACAAGTCGAGGAAGTTGTGCGTACCAACGCAAAAAAGCGCTTTTCAATGACCACGGACGAGTCCGGAGCCGTGAAATTTATCCGAGCCAATCAAGGACACACGCTCCAATTGGTGCAGGACGAAGAGCTCTTGACCCCGCTGGAAGACCCCAACGCCATTGACAAATGTGTTCACGGGACGTACCTTAAATTCTGGGACAATATCTGGGCCTCTGGGCTGTCTAAAATGCAGAGAAACCACATCCACTTTGCCGAGAGGGAAGTTGTGGACGATGACGTGGTGAGTGGCATGCGGTCAAACTGCAACTTGTTGTTGTACATCGACTTCCCCATGGCGGTGAAGGACGGAATCAAGTTCTACAAGTCCAGCAACAACGTATTCCTGAGTCCTGGTATGGTAGACACAGGAACGATCGATCGTCGATACTTTCTTCGAGCGGTAAAAAGAGATGGAACAGTAGTGTACGAGAGAGAGTGAGAGAATGAGTCTTTAACCTACAGGATTAGTCTACACATGAGTAGATTAAATCCCCGCTTCTTGTTCGTCAAACGCCTTAATGTGTAGCAATACAGCTTGCTTGATGGCTTCGGATTCCGCTAGCGTGAAGGCGTCTTCTTCCACGGACAGAAACTGTGTGTCTTCGCTTTCACTGTTACTTGGTTCACCCTGGAAGTGTCCAGCCGTCTCGATATCGACGTCTTCTTCTACTTCGTTGGAGCAGAATGGGTTGATATCGTCCTGAGAAAGAGCATTCGTGTCTCGATTCGGACGGTTGTGGTCTTGTAGACGCTGGAAGCCACGACGTCGTTGAGGAAGTCGAGCGCGGATGGCTAAGCCGAGTGACACAATTGCCAAGCACACGGGGATGGAGAACAGCCAGTTGGACACTTCAGAGCGCTTCGTCGTCTCCTCTGCTCGAGGTGACGCCGCGTTCGTCATGGCTGCGTGTTCGAATGCAGGATCCTCGGCGTTGCGGTCGGCTTGGTCTTGTAGCAGTATCGAGATATCGTTGCCATTGGCTTTCGGCAGCGTGCGACTGTTCTCCTGTGCCTCGGCGGATGTTATCGCTGTGTCGAGAACGTGACATGTCGTGGCGTCAACGCAGACGTAGCAGCCGGTCTGAAGCGCCCAGAGTCCATGAGAACCGCATCGATAGTCGGTGAGAGTGTTGGACATGACAGAGCACGTCAAAGGTCCACCATCGTCACACAGAGTGTTGCGCTCAGCGAACGCAAGTGAAAACGTTAATAGTAAGAGGAATGTCGACAGCAGCATGACGTTGGATCTAGTTTGACACGCTAAAGCCAAAGTGAGAAGCGTCGGGAATCAGATACCAAAGATCGCTCATGAAGGGACGCAAAGGAGACCGTCCATTCCACAGAAGAACGGCCTCAATCAAGTAACATGGTGGGGTGTCTATGAGCTGATCTTGGTCTGGATGAGCTAAAGCTCCAGTGTTTAACAGTCAGCCACGCTTTCGGAGGAGCACGAGCGCGAGCTCAAAAAGATTTTTGACGACTACGACCAGGTAAAGTGACGCCATTTTTGGTTGATCTGGGTGAATCGAGGCTGACATAAAAGCCTCTGGTGGCAAGAATGGGTCGGGGGATATCGATATTGACGAGGTAGATCGCGTTCTCTCTCTTTCGACGCGTGGTATAGTGAGCTAACGTTTTAGTTGCAAGCTACGCGACATCGCCGAGGATCTCGGTGAGCCGCTCTCGGAGGTCGAGTTGGAATATCTGGCTAAGGAATTTGACACAGACGAGAGGTACGAAATTGACGTGTCTTGGTCAGATGCAGTGCATGGGCCTCATCGCATGTCTTGTGCAGTGGCGCAATCAGCTGGGCGGAGTTTATCGCGTGGTGGAAGCTCCCGTTCTAGGGCAAGAAGAAGAGAAGAATAGTACTTCGATAGCGTCGATCTCACTTATTTTTAAGACCAAACGCCAAGGAACTTGAAATGCTTATCAATTCTACATGTCAAGGATACCTATCGATGTTGGTTTCGCGATATTTTGGTCGCCTTCTTCGTTTCAAAACGACTGTGGCCGTTCTTTTGTGTAGCTATCTTGATCCCCAGACTCGATCCGAAGTATCGCATGCCGTGCTAGTGAAAATGTCAGCGGACAAACGAGCACTAAAATTGGCCTTGAGCTTGTTGCTTTTTGTTCAAGGTCTGGTCGGTCCCACACCAAAACGAGTTGAGCTGGGTGACTAGGCAAAGCAAGCTTCTCCTTGTTCCCCGCATGCAGTGACTGCTTCTAGTCTTGTAAACTATTCGATCGTTCCTTCCAGCTTAAAAATGGGCAAAGATGATCGCAGCGTACCGGTGATCAACGAGAACGGCTTCACTATCAACGGCTGTAGCTTCAACGTTGACCCCAAGTACAAACCCATCGACGCTATCGGACAAGGTTCCTATGGTGTCGTGTGCTCTGTACGCAATACCGAGACCGATGAAAAGCTGGCTATCAAGAAGATCACACCCATGGCTGGCGATGAGTGGGATGCCACGCATACACTGCGTGAAATTCGCCTTATGCGATGTCTTGGAGCCCATGAAAATGTGAGTATACTCACTTTTTTCACTTTCGTAGCATAAAAATTATTAACGTTTTATTGTATCGTCACAGATCATATCACTCAAGGACTTGAGCATGTGTAAGGACAAGGACGAGCTGTACATGATGATGGAACTTGCCGATACGGACTTGCATCGCCTTATCCAGAGTTCTTGTCCTCTTACTGAAGGACACATTCGAGTCATAATGTACCAGGTTCTCTCTGGTGTCAAGGCGATGCACGACAATGGCGTTCTCCATCGCGACTTGAAGCCAGGGAACCTCTTGCTCAATAAGGACTGCGAGTTGAAGATCACGGACTTTGGGCTGGCCCGAATGATGCCTAAGAAAGCTCAATTGGGACCGGAACACGCTTCAAACGACAGTGTATCCATGATGACCGAGTACGTAGTGACGCGTTGGTACCGACCGCCTGAGCTCATGCTCGCACCCAACGGAAGCTACGACGGAGCCGTCGATATGTGGTCGGTAGGCTGCATCTTAGGAGAACTCGTGTCCCGTAAACCACTCTTTCCAGGTACAGACTTCATGGACCAACTCACACGTGTGTTCCAAGTGCTCCCAGTGCCTGAACCTGAAGATCGAGGCTACGTTATCGAGAAAGATGCGCTGAAATTCCTCTCGTCACTTCCCGCTCCTATTCCAGGTGCCTTCGAGACGAAACTAGGCGAAGCTGTAGGTCCTCAAGCTCTGGATTTACTACGTCGGCTGCTGTGTTTTAACCCCAAAGAGCGGATTTCAGCGGACGACGCACTGATGCATCCGTTTTTCGAGGGTGTTCAAGAAGAGTGGGGGGAGATCACCGCTCTACACCTCGCTCATTCCCTCGAATTCGCCTTCGAGACTCAATCTCTACCGCTCTCCACCTTACGTCAGTACATTTGTGACGAGGTTCTTGCCTTCGGAGAGCGAGCAAGTAAACGACCATCAGAGCCACAGGACAAGGAGCCTCAAGCTAATCCGGAGATGGCTACAGTATCGACAGAAGCAAGCAACAACGATACGCCTTCAGTGCCGGAGAACGACTGTCCTGTAGGCTCGGGATTCACTCTGAAGAGCTGCCAGTTCAACGTGCCAGCCAAGTACAAGCCACTTCAAGTGCTCGGAGAAGGCTCGTACGGCATCGTGTGCGCGGCAACGGACACGGAGACCAAGAAGAACGTGGCTATCAAGAAGATCACGCCAATGGCAGGGGACGAGTGGGACGCCAAGCACACGTTACGCGAGATTCGCCTCATGCGGTACTTCGGGAAACACCCGAACATCGCGTCGCTGCAGAACTTGAGTACGTGCATGGACAAGGACGAGCTGTACTTGATGATGGACCTCGTGGACACGGATCTCCACCGGCTCATCCAGAGCAAGACCAAGCTCGAAGACGCGCACATTGCAGCCATCATGTACCAGCTTCTCTGTGGCGCTCAAACGCTGCACGAGAACGGCGTTCTGCATCGCGATCTCAAGCCAGGAAATATCTTGGTCAGCAAGAACTGCGACGTCAAGATCACGGACTTCGGACTCTCTCGGTACATCCCACACAGCGCTCGTACGGACGGCGTCACGTCTCCAACCGACGCGGAATCTCGACGTGCAGTGGATAAAACCCAAGCCTTGATGACCGAGTACGTCGTCACGCGGTGGTACCGACCGCCTGAGATCATGTTGGCACCCTCGGGAGTATACAATGAGGCGGTGGATATGTGGTCCATTGGCTGTATCTTCGGCGAGCTGCTGAATCGTCGACCCATGTTCCCTGGCTCCGACTTCCTGGATCAACTCTCTCGTGTCTTCAGTGCTCTACCCGTTCCAGCGCGGGACAAACGCGGCTACGACGTGGAAGGAGACGCCTTGGCGTTCCTGGACAGTCTGCCGCCTTGTTCCCCCTCCGCTCTCACTAAACTATTCCGTCGTGCGTCGCCAGAAGCTGTGAGTCTGCTGCGTCGATTGCTGTGCGTGAATCCTGCGCGTCGCATCTCGGCGAAGCAGGCGCTGGCGCATCCTTACTTCAAGAGTATAAGAGCGCAACTGGGTGAGCCGCCAGTGTTCCGAGTGGACAAGGCCTTCGACTTCGAGTTCGACTACCAAGAGTTCTCGCTTACGCACTTGAAGACGCTGATACAGAGCGAAGTCAAGTTGTTGCAGAAGTACGGGCTCCCTCCACCCATTCCGGATTCGGAACCGGTTCCGACTGCCGTTGCCGAAGAAGTGGACGACTTGGAGGACGAACAAGAGGTCAAACAGGAGAGGAACGACGAGGTGGAACACGTTAAGGCCATGGAGTCCACTGTAGTCATGGTACAACAAAACCCGGAGGTCGTGTCCAAGACACAAACGCCAGCGGAACCGGAGACGGACGGGCCTATGTCTTCGGATTCGGAACCGGATACCAAGCATCGACAGCAACAGGATGAGGAGACGGAAGCTGTTCCTCAGGAGCCAGTGGCTGTAGAACCGACCACGCAGACCAACGACGACGACGAGAAGCCACGCAAAGAGACCACGAGCTCTGCTCGCTCAGAACCGCCTTCAGCAGCGACACATCGGTCGTCCCGGACTGCTACAGCGAGCTCTTTAGCTCGTCCGAAAAGTGCTGGAGCGACGTCACGTCGATCGACGTCTTCGTCCTACATTTCAACGAGCCGAAGCAGCTCTGGAGGGATGTCGTACCGCTCGCAACGGGAGGACGACGAGGTCTCGTCCGTCTCCAGCATCAGCAGCAACAACCGCCACAGCAGCAACAACGGCTTGGAGTCCGTCGACCGCGGAGGGAAGTGGGGTCACTCTCGCTCCAGCGTCATGGCGCCCACTGCGTCTTCGAGACTTCACCGATCCAGTCACAGCTCATCGACGTCTTCCATCCACGACCGTCGGAGCGGGGCAGTCAAGACGGCAGCGATCTCCACACGCACTGGGTCCGCACGCGTGTCCAGCAGCAACCAGCGAAGTGCACGTGGAGACGAATCCATCGACCGCGAGTCCGTCAAGAGTGACTCCGTCCGAGGTCCTGAGCGTGTCAGCTCCACTCTCACAGCGGCCACCGCGTCCTCATTACGTCGACAAACGAGCTCTGCCGGGACGGTGCGGACGTTATCTGCTCGAAAAGAGCCGCTTCCCGAGGGCTGGATACGTCGCACTCACTCCAAGAGTGGCCGAGAGTATTTCTACGACACACTCAACAAAGTGGCGTCCTGGAAACTGCCCGTCAAGCAGCAGCAGCTCGACAACCTCTTCGCTGGGACGTCGAGTGCTTCGACTGCATCGTCTACTTCTCGAGTCGCGCACGGCCATCGCCAGAATGTCCAGGTCGTGCCAGGCACGTCGTCGACGGCCTCTTCTCCGTCCAGTGCAATGACGCCCGAGTCCTCTACGAGTCGCAGCTCGATGCTTTCTAGTCGACGAACAGGTTCCAGTACGTCCAGCAATCTACCGAAGGAGTGGGCTCGCCGCTCCGACCCCAAGACTGGACGTCTGTTCTACGTCAACCTGGTCACCAACCGCTCGTACGCCAAGCTCCCGTCGTCAGTCACCGCTGCCATGCTCAACCTCGGCCGTGAAGCTGTCGCGAGTAAACGCGCCGCTGCAGAAGCTCTCAACCGGAAGAAAGCCACGGTACCGCACAGTCCTCAGTTCTCGCAGATGTCTTGGCAGCGTAAAAGAGTCCCCAACACGGACGACTGAGCTCCTGGTCTCGTAATAAAACCTCAGCAACTACAATAAAACATGACTTCACAGTTCACACACGTTTGATTTTGTCTTCATTGCCCACCATAAACACAAGTCAGTAAAAAAACTACCGCTTCATCTCGATATACTGCGTCCTATGTATGTCAGTCGTATTGGCCGATTACTCTTGAGCAGCATCGACGTTGGCGACCGTGAGCGCAAGGATCTTCATGGCATCCTTCATATCGCTCAGCTGGCAGTACTCGTTGTCCCCGTGGTATACCGAGCTCTTACCAAAGCCAACGAGCGTCAGGTCAAAGCCACCACGCTGCATATCACGGACAAGCGGCAGACTACAAAGCACGCATTTAAGTTAGCACAAGCCAAGGAACATGCCTCACCAGGTATATAAAGGTGTTACCTTCCGCTAATGGAGAACGGCTTCGCCTCTCCCAGAACTTCACTGATCGCCGAATGCAGGGCCCTAGAAGAATACAACATCGTCAGATCCGAGTCAAAAGAGGCATGAGTTAAAATATCGATGCGACGTACTTGTAGCCAATCGAGTCGAGCGAGCAGGCGATGCCTTCGTAGTAGCTCTTGTCGAACACCAGCTCCAGCTTACCCTTGCGGTTCTCATCCGGGAGCGTGTACTTCGAGACCGGACCACGGTTTCCTTCCAGAGACGTGATGTTGGCGTTAAGATCGTCCACAAACGCCGTCATCTTAGCAATCATCTGTGCAGCATAAGGCAGCAACGAATTAGCCCAATTTAACCTGATCAGACTAGTTTGACCCACTAAAACAAACCTCCTTCATGTCGTAAAAGGGAGAGAGACGCACATCACCTGCGACCTTGGCCCATGGCGGACTAAAAGGACACAACAAGTATCCCGTTAGCCATCTATCTTCACTCCCACTTCACTCTGCAGCACTCCGTACATTTGGTTGAGTCCGTTGACCGACGATTCAATGCGCGTGGGCTTCATAGTCGATGGACACGAGTAGTTGTACTCTTTCTCCTTGTCCACTGGTCCAAACTCCTTGTAGAAATACTCCTGGATCTTAGTCATGGCATCCATAGCCAGCTCCAGTCCGTTGATGCCCAAGTTCGGCAGCCCACTGTGGAACAGCTTGCCCGTAGCCTTGAGAGTCCACGTGATAGCTCCAGCTGTGCCAATACAAGGCTGGCTGTCGGAGCAGTCGACCCAGAACACGGGGCCGTTCTTGAGGAAGTCGATTTTCCCGGACTCCATCAGCGTCTCGACGCCAACGCCTTCAATCTCGCTGTTCTCCTCCGACGCGATGAGCACACACACGATTTGCGTCTTGGTCTGCACATTGTGCTTGGCTAGCTCCCGGAACAACACTAGCAAGCCGTTTGTCAAACCCTAATTCTAAACCCTAATATAAACCCTAATGCGGTGCTTACAGGTCAGGAGAGCCACATGCCCCAGACAGTCCGTGGTGCCGCGTCCGTAGAGCTTGTCGCCCTCTACGGTGAGTGTAAAGGGGTCTCTCTCCCAGCCCTCCGGGTTTGCAGGCACCACGTCCATGTGGGCGCCCACCAGAGCCAGCGTCTTGTCGCTAGCAGCCGAAGGTGGCGCGTACTTGATGATGACGTTGCCGCGTCCAGCCACGAACTCGACACGCTCGACGCTCAGCTCCGATCCAGTAAAAGGCTTGAGCTCTGTCAGTACAAAGTCCGACACTAGGTTTTCCTGAGGAATTAATCCCAGACCAGGCGCATTTTGCACTGTTTCCTTTGGGTTTGTCAGCGAAATTTAGGATTTAACGTTAGATGGTGCGGGCCACAGAGACGACAGATGTGAGAGGCTTGTGAACACACGCACCGACACACTAATGAGCTTGCGGAGAAGCTCCACGTACTCCTTGTCGTCTAGCACGAGATCTTGCAGCGTCGTCATCTTCCAGGAAGATCGTCAGTAAGAAAGCCAAGAACTTCAAAATTGATGTTCTTGTATACGGTACATGTATACGTGAACAGGGTTCAGATACCTTTTTGAGCACTCTCATCATATAGAAATGTAGACGAACAGATCAGTTACTGTGTACACTACCGGTATTAATACATTAATCTTGCACAATGCAGCCAGGGCCAGACTTTCGACTCAATACTCAACGTGTTATAGACAGAGTGAGTATTTACGTCGAGGTGGCTGCCTCGACATTGGCAACCGTGCGTGCAAGGATCTTGATAGCGTTTTTCATGTCGCTCAGCTGGCAATATTCATTATCACCGTGGTAGACCGAGCTCTTGCCGAAACCTGCAGGGCCTCCGAAATTTTTTTTGACGACACAGTAATTTCAATAAATAAGCAGACATTATTTATGTTGCTACCCTAAACTAGGCTCGTGCATAATTTATGGTGGCTGCATATTACATACGGTAATTTATGCGTACAGTTTCCTGAAGTTATCTGCAGCAGTCAATCGATCGCCACGAACCAGTCGTTTTGTTGCCGAATCGGCTGATCTCAGCAGACTCATTTTCTTTTCTCTCACTTCCCACGCTGACACTCCCGTTACCATGGTCTTCTCGTCTCGACGCAGTGTGCGCTCTACGTTCACGCCAGCACAAACTGCTGGGTTCTTCTTTCAACCGTGCCGCGACGAGCTTGATGAAGTCATCCTCGAGTACTACCGATGTCGTTGCGGCACGGTTCGAAAGCAGGCTAGCCGCAATGGCTTTTCCAACCTGGTATCGCACGTTCGAAGCGAGCACCCAACCCATGAGAGCCTCATGCTCGCCGCCGGCTCGGCCGAGACGAGGTCTATCCTCAACTACGTGCGGTGCTCCTATCTCAATCTATTCAGCTGGATGGAGTGGATCCTAAAGAGCAATCTTCCGTTATCATTCTGTGAGAATGAGGCGGCCAAAAGGTAAGTCATACGCATTTCTAAAGTTGCCTATGAATTTCTAACTTCTGTTTCTATTTGATTTCTATAGGTACTCTAACCTTGACTCAATTTGTGTCGAGACGCTCGTCTCTGGCATGAGTAGTGTGACGCGGGCCGTGGAGCGTGGCATCGCTGAAGAGATGCCTGACCTTTTTGGGCTAATCTTTGATGGGTGGTCTCATGCTTCAGAGCATTACATTGCAGTGTACGCTCGCTACGAGGTGGACGGGGTCGTCAAGACTCCTCTTCTTTGTATGGCTCCACTGCTCAGCGAGGAGGAGGAAGACCTCTCCGCCCGCGGCCACATGGAGTTTCTTGCCACTATGCTGCCTCGGGACTACGGCAAGCAGCTGGGCCAGTGCTGTTTCCTGGTGGGAGACAACTGCTCGGTTAACCGGCGGCTCGCAACGCTGATGGGTGTGCCGCTAATCGGCTGTGCCAGCCACCGCCTTAACCGAGCAGTGCAAGCTGACATGCAAGACTATGAGGACGAGCTGGATGCTGTCCAGAAGTTAATGATCAAGCTTCGTAACCTGAAGCAAAGTGCCAAGCTGAGGTAAGTTTGAGCTGATAATGATGTAGTTAGAAACGTTTCTAATTGGGTTTCTATTTTGAATGTAGAACTAAAACGCCGTTCTGTCCAGTCACCCGCCAAGATACTCGATGGAGCTCCACTTTCGCTATGGTGATGCGGTACTTCACACTGCTGGAGTTTATCGACAGCAATGACGACGACATCGCAGATTTGCTGCCGTCCCCTTCGTACAACCGCCGTTTGCGTGCTCTGCTAGCAGACTTGAAGAAGGTTGAGTCCGTTGCAAAGGCTTTGCAGGGAAACGAAGTATCACTACTTGATGCTCGAGTGTGGCTGGATGGCTTGATTTCCATCAAACCACACTACGCTCGATACATTGGTACGTGCAGCATATTTTTTTCCTTTTCTAGTATCCATTGCTAATTTGTTTTGTATTCACTATGAACACTAGGCTCACGCGCTGAAATTGTTCACAGCTCTGACTTTGAGTCAGAGTGTGTACGGTCTTAGGCGGCAATGCAGCCCGCCTCATGCGAGCTGAAAAAACAGTGTTGACTCCGTTCAAGTCGACAGGCCCTCCTGCAGTGAGTGAAGACGAGGACGACGGCGAAAATTCGTTCGCCCAGCTGCTCTAAAAGAGACGCCGACTTGCCGCGAAGGAGACCAAGTACAAGCTCTTGCATGCAATCCCTGCGACGTCCAACGTGGTGGAGCGCTTTTTTAGCGTTGCTCGTACCACGTTTGGCCAAGAACGCCATGGACTGCAGCCCATTACTTTAGAAATGATTCTCTTCCTGCGCGAAAATGCTGGTTACTGGGACGCACAAACACTTGACACAGCAACTCGAGCGTAGATACCTGTTATTGATTCATTAAACCTTGGTTATTGCAGCAGTAACTCAATAATTTATTGGTCTTCTAGCTAAAGCATCATAACGTATTGCCAACATACAAGCTAGCTTCGCGATAATTTATCGTGAAGATGCTACTACGATAAATAACAATATCATTTTCGGACCCCCTGGAAACCTGTCAATGTCAAATCCAAACCGGCACGTTGCAAGTCGCGCACTAGTGGCAAACTGCCACTGATGGAGAACGGCTTAGCCTCGCCTAGCACATCGGCGATAGCAGCATGCAACGACCTTAAAGTGGAGGATACGCATGTTAAAATCTGTAGTGCAAAGATTGTGGTGTAGAAATGATGGCGCGTGCTTGTAGCCGACAGATTCGAGCGAGCATGCGATTCCCTCTAAGTAATGTTTCGCGAATGTCAGCTCCAGTTTGCCGCTCCAACTCTCTTCTGGTAGCGTATATTTGGACACAGGACCCCGTTTTCCCTCCAGTGACGTGATGTTGGCGTTCAGGTCGTCGACATACGAGTGCAACTTGGCAATTAACTGGCAACACGAAGACGGTTAGTTCATCCTCATCAACCCTGTAAAGTGGCAAGCAAAACTGCGACGCGCATCTTTCATCTCGTAGAACGGCGATAAGCGCACGCCGCCTGTGATCTTCACCCATGGCGGACTGGCACACAACATGAACATTTGTAAGTACATACACTTTGAGCATATTTTTGCGTAAAAAAATACATTTGGTTCAGTCCGTTGGTGGAGGACTCAATTTTTGTCGGCTTCATAGTCGATGGACACGAGTAATTGTACTCTTTTTCTTGAGGTAAAGGACCAAAGTCCTTGTAGAACCGTTCCTGGATTTTGGTCAGCGCATCCATGCCCAGTTCAATGCCATTAATACCCAAATTGGGTAGACCGCTGTGAAACAGCTTCCCAGTGGCCTTCAGAGTCTACGTGATCGCACCAGTAGTGCCAATGCAAGGCTGGCTGTCTGAACAATCGACCCAAATGACGGGTCCCTTTTTGATAAAGTCGATCTTGCCAGACTCCATCAGAGTTTCCACCCCTACCCCCGGAATCTTCGAGTTCTCCTCGGAAGCGATGAGTACACAGACCACCTTAGTCTCGATACTGACTTTCTTCTGGGACAGTCCCTTAAACAACTCCGTCATGAGTGCTACATGGCCCAAACAGTCCGTTGTACCACGTCCGTACAGATTGTCACCTTCCACTGTAAGCGTGAAGGGGTCTCTCTCCCAGCCCTCGGGGTTGGAAGGCACCACGTCCATGTGGGAGCCTACGAACGCCACCGTCCTCTCGCTGTGAGCAAAATCCGGGTGCTGATAAGCATTGCCACGACCAGCCACAAACTCCACGCGCTCGACGGTCAGATATCCACCGTTCGTTTTGTTGTAGGGCTGGAGCTCGGCTAGCACAATATCGGACACGAGATTCACCTGAGGGATAAGCCCCAGACTCGGCGCATTTTGCATCTTCTCGGATACACCGATGATCTTGCGCAGTAGGTCCACGTAGGAGGCCTCATCAAGCTGGATGTCGTGCAGGAGCGACGCCATCTTCCAGCAAATGACACTCTCCTTGCTAGGGCTAGAGCTCAAAAAGTAAATAAAATGGCAGATACTTTTGCACCATTGCGTTTAGGGCTTCAGACAAATTAACAGCATCACATTGGTAAAAAATATAAAAACATGGCATCTGAGTTATCAACAAGTTGTTGCAACTTGCAACTTGCAACTCAAGTAATTTCCCGCTCCCTAACCTTGTAGCGTGTCTGTCTGTCTTTCCGTCCGTCTGTCAATCCGTCCGTCGCACTCCTTGTCTTCCTGCTTTTTCCTGCCTTCCCGCATGGCTACACTCGGCCTGTCTTATACAGTTTCCTTCCATCCTACCGACCGCGCCTATCTTTCTGACTCGACCTAGCTATGCATAAATTACAAATATGTCCAAAAGCGTGACACAATTAACTCGCGCCCTGATTGGGCAATACCTGCCGACCTGCGACACTGACTGGATCTGTCGCACGATCAGACCGTCTATCGCCGTCGCGATTGGACGTAAGGTAAACATTTCTGCCGAGCACGAAACGCATCGATTGGTTGCAAACAGCCTGGCGAGCTGCGTTGACAATTCATTTAGCTACGCAAAACCTGTCGTATGTGCATTAAATCGGGCACGCTAGCCACCGCGTTTTGTAGGGGCTTTGCAAATATTATTTTTAACTTCTCCTGGCACTCTCCACTGTCAGCGTGCAAGAAGGCGCGCGGCCGCACGGTCATTGCGCTATCTGCTCCCGTGCACCCCACCCGACGAATGCATGCGCGCACGGTACATAGTCTTTTAGTCACTTTTATTGCATGTAAAGTATGTATTTGTTTAAAAATCTGATAGTATTACTATTAAAGCAAAATAGTAATATTTTAAAACATTTTAATATGTTGCTTGATAATAAATACCAGCCTTACATTACCGTGCTATTGGCTAATATTTGGACGCAAGTAATTGGTTAAAATAATATATGTTGCTTACTTACTCACAGTTTGCAAAATGGTGGGCCTTACGTGCAAGCAATGCGAGGCGAAGATTGACCCGCTTCTACTGAACCCGCAGCGGTCTACGACGGACCCCCGAGCGCGCTGCGTCTGCTGCGGGAAGCTGCAGTACGGCTACGCATTCCGTACAATCAGCGGGCGGGACATCGTGCGGCGCTGTATTGCCTGCGAGAACGGCCCAAAAGCGGTTGAGTTTTGGGAGAAAAAAATCCCCCACCACCTGATTCGGCCGAAGTGCGCCGCCAGGAAAGCCTGGCGAACGTCAAGAAGGCGATGGGTCCTGACTGGTACCCCAAGAAGAAAAAGAGGCGCAGCCGCCCTCGCAAGCTGACCGCCCGAAACGCCAAGAACATCGAGCAAAAGAAGCAGCAGAAGAGCAAGTAATTGGTAAATATACCCTTTTAGGCCCCATTTTCCTACCTATTTTTGTATTTAGTATACCCGACTTTGTATTTAGTATACCCGACTACAGTGCGAGGTTTGGAACCGCACATACGGTAAGCTGCCTTTGGCGTTACCAAACGTTTTGACGCACCCACAGAGCGTAGCGCGTTTCATTTAATAATTAACACGTGCTATCAGCTGCAAACTGACCGTCCCTATCCACATAGGCGTCACCATAGGTGAAAGGTACACTCGCTCACTTGGACACACGCAAATCCGTGCTATGTGTACCATCAACGCTTACGGTGTATATTCCAGTAGTGTGCGCTCATAAATTAAACTACAGTATGGAGTGAGCTTTACGCGCGACGAATAATTTGCTGTCTACACAGACACGAGCACGTGTGCGTTAATGCAGATCATACAGGTGAATGTGGCAAGTTGATGTGTCTGTACGCAGTACCGTACTTTAGTGCTCTGCTCAAATTGGTCGGGATCAGAGCTGGGGATGGTTATACGTGTACCCGCCGCGCGCGTACATGTCTGCGAGCAGACGCGCGGTCAGCTATCATGTATCTCTGCGGTATGGCATGTGCCGAGTTAGTAAAGCGCCTGGTCATATAGACTGGTACATCAGAAACGTAAGCACAGTAAGCCAGCACGACGACGCAAATGTACCGAGAAAGCGACAGTGACCCTATGCATATGTTTTGGTTTTCCCGAGCGCGTGGCATATACACTCATTAACGACCTTGCGATATATGCACGGACACATCAAATAGCACATCGAGCTGATGGGTAGGCAGCGAAAGTACTTCATTTAATAAACATGAGCTACTATTCGACTCAAGTCTAAGATAAATACGATCAGGTCATCAGCCTACAGCCATGTGGCTTCCTATGTTCGTCATACATATCGGAACCAGTAAATACCACTCGGAAAGGATCTATGCCACTCTGTCATTCAGTAGCTGTGCAAATAAGTCCGTAAGTGCGTCAGCTATGCAAGTAAGATCAATGCATGCGGAAGATAGTGGATTACCCTTCAGTAATATCATAAACAGCTCAGCGGAACAGTTTCAAAGTATAATATTGGTGTTTGTGGCGACCATCGGCGAATACTACCTGTCCTAAAGATACTTCACGCGAGGAGCCGACCCAATCGTGCTCTAATCGACAGTCACAATCAAATATATGATGTCGACTGCCTCACGGCGATGACGTGGCCGATGGTATAATGTTTAAGTTGGCGTGTTTTCTCCAGCTAAACTGGGATCCCTCACCGATCTGTGGCAATTTGGATCATCATTGAAACTGACACGTCTTCTGAACAGCATATATAAACGTTTAAACCACGCGCGCCTCCGATTCGTGTCATGTTGGTAGCTATTCTCTCAAATGGGATTGAACAAAACCTTCCCGGGTAAGATGGTGCTCTTCTTGCAGATCACGTTAAAGCCTGGTTATGTCTACCATAACATGTGAACACTATAGATACTGTGTGCGGTGTTGTTTTGGAGCGTAACATAAGTAGATCACAGTATACATTTATTATATGTAGCTTCGCTCTAAGTAGAAACTCTAAGCACACCGCAGCGCAGCGGAAGTGTTCAGTCCACACTACACCAACCAACCATGCCCTAGCGTCCGCGGAGCGGGCGCCCAGAGCGCTAGTTTACCGCTCCCTAACCTTGTAGCGTGTCTGTCCGTCTGTCAATAAGTCCGTCCGGTTCCTTTCTTGCTGCTTTTTCCTGCCTTCCCGCATGGCTACACTCGGCCTGTCTTATACAGTTTCCTCCCATCCTACCGACCGCGCCTATCTTTCTGACTCGACCTAACTATGCGAAAATTACAAATATGTCCAAAAGCGTCACACAATTAACTCGCGCCCTGATTGGGCAAAACCTGCCGACCTGCGACACTGACTGGATCTGTCGCACGATCAGACCGCCTCTCGCCCTCGCGATTGGACGTAAGGTAAACATTTCTGCCGAGAACGAAACGCATCGATTGGTTGCAAACAGCCAGGCGAGGTGCGCAGATACTTGATTATTGACATTCAGCTACGCAAAATCTATCGTATGTACTGCATATCGGGCACCGTAACCAGCCCATGCAGTTGATGCTCTGCGTTGTTATTTTCACACGTTTTTCAAAGTAGAGACGATATATTCATTTATTAGTATTAATGTTACTTAAGGAGGCTTCACGACCTTTGCGTTATTATAGTTGCACCCGGACACAGCACTGCATGCGCGAATGATACTTACGTGATGGTGCTATTATTGCTGAAATGTATGTTTGTTTAAAAATAATAATATCATTATTTAAGCGATTGCCAAAAAATAAAATAAAACTTTTTTTGTGTAATAATGAGTACCGGCATTAAATGGCCGTGTATTGGCTAAATATTTTGACGTACTTTATTGGTTAAAATAATTTCATGTTTATGATATAATAATACTATTTAATATTTTGCTAAATATTAAACACCCAGCAGTCAATATCCGTTAGAATACCTAATATTTTTACGCAACGTTAGCAATTATAAAATTTCCTTCACAGTTTGCAACATGGCGAGGCCCACGTGCAAGACCAATATTGGCCTGCAACTGCTGAATCTGCAGCGGTCTACGACGGATTCCCGGGCGCGCTGCGTCTGCTGCGGGAAGCTGCAGTACGGCTACGCGTTCCGTACAATCAGCGGGCGGGACATCGTGCGGCGCTGTATTGCCTGCGAGAACGGCCCAAAAGCGGTTGAGTTTTGGGAGAAAAAAATCCCCCACCACCTGATTCGGCCGAAGTGCGCCGCCAGGAAAGCCTGGCGAACGTCAAGAAGGCGATGGGTCCTGACTGGTACCCCAAGAAGAAAAAGAGGCGCAGCCGCCCTCGCAAGCTGACCGCCCGAAACGCCAAGAACATCGAGCAAAAGAAGCAGCAGAAGAGCAAGTAATTGGTAAATATACCCTTTTAGGCTCCATTTTCTACCTATTTTTCTATTTAGTATATTGGCTGACAGTGCGAGGCTTGGAGCCGCACATACGGTAAACTGACTATGCCGCTGCCAAGCGTACTGACCCACCTACAGAGCGTAGCGCGTTTCAGATAATAATTAGCGCATGTTATCTACTGTGTACCCTTGCCTCTGGTCATCCCTATCTGCATACGCGTTACCGTAGATGAAAAGTATACTCGCTCACTTGGCACACGCAAACCCATGCTATCTGTGCCACCAACGCTCACAGCTTATTTTCCACTAATATGCGCCCACGAGTGTAAGCTTCAGTATTGAGTTAGCACTACGCGAGACAAATACGTTGCTGTGTGCATAGACACAAGCACGTGTGCGGTAGTGCAAACCATACAGGTGGGTGTGGCAAGTCGATGTGTCTGTACGCAGTACTGTACTTTAGTGCCCTACCCATAGTTGTCGATATATGAGCTCGGTTGAGTTGCTGATGGCTACAAGGTGTACCCGCCGCACGCGTATATATTGCTTTGACTACTGCTAGCAGACGCCTGGTCAGTTGGCCTGTATCAGGCTGCCTATATCACCACGGGTATGACCTGTGCCCAATTAGTGACGCACTTGATCATATAGACGAATACATCATAAACGTAGG